AATCTTTTTCAGTTATAACAGGTGGCCCCATTGTGGAAAGGACAAGAACAGACCCGCTTCCTCCCCAAACAAGAACAGCATAGAAGTCCACTAACTGGGAGCTTCGTTCGAAGTTGGAGTGCATCTGTCCAAGCAGCAAGGAGTAACCAACTGCAGACAAATAAGCCAGTAAAATGGATGTATACGGATAACTCTGGCCCTGTCATAAAGCCGAAGTCCAAATAAAAGACCAACCAGGACTTTCTTCAGGAGCTTACAGCAGGTAAATAAAGAAGAAACAGAAGAGGATAAGCTGCAAGTATTATTCATTTAATTTGTACAGCACAAGTTTCTTTAATACAGACTTCATCATAAAACTCAAGTAACATTTCACGGCAGAGATTATAGTTCATTCTTATCGTATTAGGATATCAAGCATATCATTGAATATGTTATTACCATGTTATTCGTAACATTTTAAAAATATTAATATCAAGTTTTAAGTATTTGAAAATAACAGTAACATTGTAACAAGATAATAAACTGTATAAGTAGTTTTATTTAAAAAAAGGAATCATCCACATGATGCAAAGTGAATCTTATGAGACAGTTAAATTCCAGTTCACTTTAGGCAGACCAAGAAGATGGTGGAGAGATAATATACAGGCAGATCTACAAACATCTGGAATTACCAACTGAAAAGACACAGCCAATCAGAGAGATGAAGGGAGGTGGGTGATATCTGCAAGAAAGAACTTCAAGTGCTGAAGAATGAGAAAAAGAAGAAGAGATCTGTAAAAACAAACGTGTCCTGGGAAAAGACCAAAAGTGGGTGAAAAACCAGGACTTTCCACACATAGGTTTTAACATATGGAAGTTAAATTATGAACAAACTTAGTATGTAAACCAAGTAGATGCTGGCAGAGTAAGCAAATATGCACCTCAGCCCTTAGCAACAGGCCATAAATGGTACAACATGTTGCAATGACAGCCTGTGTGGGGAAAAAAATCAAAGTTCAGTCGCTTGTGCAGAAAAAATTAAATATTCCTAACAACATTTGCTGAGGTATCAACGTAAGAGCCTGATCAACGTAGTTCCCACAAAGATTCTGTGAAATATGTGATTTTCATAGTTGTGTGTAGTTTTCATGAGGGTTTTCAAACAGTCATCCAAGTACTGCCCTCGTTGCCTCACAAAGAAGACATTCTGAAGACCATTTATGAACAAATGCTGACAGAAGACATGAAGTTAGATGAAATAACATGTGTAAGAATGTGTGAATGAGGAACTAAGTGTGGATAGGCAAGGAGGGACATATGAAAGGAAGAGAACTACCAGTTTATAATCAGTGTGTTATGGGAACAGTTAGCATCTGTATCTTAATTAAGACATTTGCTGTGGGAGATGGAGCACCTGGGGTGCACCCGGTGTGCTATGATGTTGTTTTATTTCCTAAATCAGTCATCAGTAAAACATAATACACATTCGGAGGTATCTGATAACAAAACTTTTGTGATGGCTGCTATCATAGGTAGCAAAAAATCTGGCACACTCATATCATAAACAATGACAGCAATTTTAAAAGGTAAACATTTTGATTGACGGTTGGTTGATTGATTTGTTGACTGATTGACGAATCATCTAGAAGACTGAATGGATTCCCATATCTACAAAAAAAAAAAAAAAAAAAACATGCCACACACCAAATGATTCTCTCAATTGCTAGTGAAGATCTACATCAACTAACACATCATTAGTTTAAAAATGGCAACAGAAAACAAATGTGATATCCTTGAAGAAACTGAATGGTTTAATGCTATCATCCAGAGAAGGCAAAACCTATTCACTTCCAGTTGTGGCACAGTCCTGTAAAAGCCAATATGTGGCCATGTCTTTAGGGATCTGTTCTCAAAAGGCGTGGTTAAATTCCATTGGTCCTATGAGCACAGCATTTAATAGGCCAGGGTATGAGTGCAGTCACTAAGAATAGCATTTAGGGGGCTTTCCATTTGACCCCAATGGCTTTTTGAAAGCTAATTTGATGACATTTTTCTGTAAAAGTGATAAAGGTCAAAGGGTCATGGCATGAGTCACTGATTTCATCCCCCCCCCCCCCCCCCTCCCCCAAAACCAGAATATGTCCCATTTAATGCTTTAGTCTGTTCATGCTTTTTGATTGCTCCTTAATATATCTTGACATATTAAACAAAATAAAAATTAAACGTAGATAAGTTTGTAAAAGATTTATAAGTGGCCTATGTAATATATTTTTAAGACCCTAGTGATTTTTTTTCAAAAGCCAATTTAATGACACATTTTTCTGTAAGAGGGTTAGAGGTCAAAGGGTCGTGGCATGAGTCTGATTTCATTCTGGTTCTCTCCCTTTCAATGTTTAGTGTGCTCATGTTCACTGATTACTCCTTAAAATATAAATTTGTAAACAATGTATTAGTGGCCTGTGAATTTTGTTTTTTAAAGGTTTTCTCCCCCTTAGAAGTTCCTACGTGTTCATAGCCCTTTTTTTTTTTTTTAAGCATTGATGGGGTGAAAGGGTTAAATTCCATATTTGTGCAGATGAATATGTCGCAGAAGCTCTCATAATATTACTGCTAGTGCTCATGCCGATCAAAACCGGTTGGGGATTCAGTTCAATGCAGCAGCAATGTGTCCAATCACAATGACCCCCTGGAGTTACTAAGCTAGCCTAAACAAAACAAAAATAGGTATAGGAAAAGAAATGAAAATCAGAAATGCCCTAATAGTATACATAACAGCTTACATTCTTTTCAGGTTTTTACAACAAAAACTGTCTAAAGTTCAACATTTGACATATTGTTTAGTGCAAATCAACCATTTTTCAGTCTGCTATCACCAAGATGGGAGCTCCAGTTGTGCAGCTTCTAGTATAATAAGGTTGCGTATCCTTTACAGGACATTGCAGAACCAAAACCAACAACTCCTGACTGTTGTGTGGTTTTTCTAGGCAAATTTACGCCCAGTAGTTTGCCATTGCTTTCTGGACGGTCGGCTCTCTTGATACCACTGTCCAAACCACCGCAAGGTGCATGGCCCGCAGCTCAGATCGAACCCGGCATCCCGGCATTACTAAGCGTTCGCATCGACTTAGCCACTGAGCTGAGTCTAGTATACTAACTTGCCATTTTAAAAAAAATATTGATATTCTTAAAGATTCATGTCTAAATGTGAACAGTATCTGTACAGAGGCTCATTTCACCTGTGTACACTGACAAATGCATACTGATCTTGTGAGGTACAATATGAATATAGATAACAAAAAACGTCGTGAGCACACTTGTCACTGATTTTCCCAAACATGTATCCATTTTTTCTCAGACATCTATCCGTCTTCTTACTTAACCATGCATCCATCATGTTCTCAACCATGTATCTATTTATCAACCTCCTCAGCGATGCATCCATCATCTTCCTCAACCATCTTTTCATCATTTTCTTGAATTATGTATTCATCATCTTCCTCAACCATCTTTTCATCATTTTCTTGAATTATGTATTCATCATCTTCCTCAACCATCTTTTCATCATTTTCTTGAATTATGTATTCACCTTCAACTATCCTTTCATCATTTTCTTGAATTATGTATTCATCATCTTCCTCAACCATCTTTTCATCATTTTCTTGAATTATGTATTCACCTTCTTCAACTATCTTTTCATCATTTTCTTGAATTATGTATCCATCATCTTCCTCAACCATCTTTTCATCATTTTCTTGAATTATGTATTCATCATCTTCCTCAACCATCTTTTCATCATTTTCTTGAATTATGGATTCACCATCTTCTTCAACTATCTTTTCATCATTTTCTTGAATTATGTATCCATCATCTTCCACAACCATCTTTTCATCATTTTCTTGAATTATGTATTCACCTTTTTGAACTATCTTTTCACCATTTTCTTGAATTATGTATCCATCATCTTCCTCAACCATCTTTTCATCATTTTCTTGAATTATGTATTCACCATCTTCTTCAACTATCTTTTCATCATTTTCTTGAATTATGTATCCATCATCTTCCACAACCATCTTTTCATCATTTTCTTGAATTATGTATTCACCTTTTTGAACTATCTTTTCACCATTTTCTTGAATTATGTATCCATCATCTTCCTCAACCATCTTTTGATCATTTTCTTGAATTATGTATTCATCATCATCCTCAACCATCTTTTCATTATTTTCCTGAACCATATATCCATCATCTTTCAGAAACCATGCATTCACTATCCAACTCAACCATGCCTCAACCATGCACCCATCATATTCTCAACCATGCACCCATCATATTCTCAACCATGCACCCATCATATTCTCAACCATGCACCCATCATATTCTCAACCATGCACCCATCATATTCTCAACCATGCACCCATCATATTCTCAACCATGCACCCATCATATTCTCAACCATGCACCCATCATATTCTCAACCATGCATCCATCATATTCTCAACCATGCACCCATCATATTCTCAACCATGCACCCATCATATTCTCAACCATGCACCCATCATATTCTCAACCATGCACCCATCATATTCTCAACCATGCACCCATCATATTCTCAACCATGCATTTATTTATCAGCCTCCTCAACCATGTATGGAGCCGGACATTTTTCAAAAATGACCTTGGCTCCCAGGTCGACCCAGCCTTTAGTGGGTACCGGGTGCAGTCCCGGGAAGCAGAGGTGGCTGGCGTGACGTTGACCACATCCCCCATCTTGTGCCGATTGGTCTATAAAAATATGGGTCTAGCCCTATATGCCCTATACGCCTAAAGGCATGGAAAAGGGTCCTTTACTTTTTACTTTCAACAATGTATCCATTATCTTTCTCAACAATGTTTTTATCATTCTCCTCAACCCTGTATCCATCATCTTGCAGAAACCATGAATCCACTATCTTCCTCAACCATGCATCCATCAACAAAGCTCATTCATCTTGTACTTATGGATGATCGCAAATAAGTCAACACTAACTACTGCCACAACATGAAAACCACGACCGGCCCCGACCCAGCAGAGACCGGCTGCTGAGGTTTATGTTACACGTCTGACTGGACTCCATGCTGACATCGTCTCCAAACCTTTTCTTCAGCTCCTAAGATGAAAGAAAAATATTGATGACATTTATTAACTCCTAATGTTTCTAATGACACACTAAGTGTGTAATAATCTTCTTCTTTCTTCTTTTCTCTACCTGCGGCATCAGGGCAGAAAGTATGGGATCTTTTGTTCGCTTCATATAAAGTAATGTTCAGTGTCTCTGATATTTATGCAGGTCATCTTCTGCGTGATCAACCTCTGGATCTGTTACCACTAAATCTGTATAACATTGCTCGGTACTCCTGTCAAATCCGGACGAAGATTAAAAAGCCTTGGACGACTTAGTCAGAGTTCTCTCCCTTGGCCGCACTGCAAACAGTGATCGGAAAAGCCAACGAAACAAAGAAGACAGTCACGTCGACATCAGGGCTGCCAATGCTTGGTTGTTTCCCCCAGATCTGGGTTTTTTTCGACGCTGCAGGACAATTCTGGTTTTTTTTGGGTGTGTTTTGTTTGTTGGTTTTTGCCGATTTGTATGCTTTACTGATCGATAAATTTGCGTGGTTAGGGGTAGGGGTTAAGGCTAGGGAGTAGGATTAGGATTAGGGTTAGCGGTAGGGTTAGGTTTAGCGTTAGATTTGACAATTTTGACGCCGAAGTTCCCTATAATCGCGCACAGTCCCATACACACACAAACAATCGAGGGCCTATGGATGCTGGTCAAACGCACATTTCGCCAACGATTGGGGGCACCAGCCGCACACTATTGGCGTCATATTTGGCAGAGTTTCAGTGGCGCCACTCCCACAAACATCAGATTGTCGGCCAGTATTTCGAAATCCTACGTCAAAATTTTCACATCTAACCCTAACCCTAACCCCAACCCTAACCCTACCTCTAACCCTAACCCTACCCCTAACTCTAAACCCTAACCCTAACCCTACCCCTAACTCTAACCCTACCCCTAACTCTAACCCTACCCCTAACGCAAACCCAAACACTACGCATCCCTACACGCAACCGTATGATGACTACGCATCCCTTCACGATGCCTCACGCAACCGTACGCACCCCTGCATGCAACCGTATGATGACTACGCATCCCTTTACGATGCCTCACGCAACCGTACGCAGCCCTACACGCAACCATATGATGATAGGTAAGTGTGTCGTTTGTTTCGTTGGCTTTTCCGATCACTGTTTGCAGTGCAGCCAAGGGAGAGAACTCTGACTAAGTCGTCCAAGGCTCTTTATTCTTCGTCCGGATTTGACAGGAGAGCCCATTGCTCTTTGTAGTGCCCTGTCTGATGCCAATCTTGCTAAACTGTCCAACTGCCTCTCTTGGCCTTATATGGCTTCCATCACATTCTCTCCCTATGTGGGTTCTGGAGCCCATTTTCAGGGGCAAAGAATAAACTCACTGACCCCTTAACAGGCATGTCGAGAAATTAAACTAATTAGGCGCATTTCCTTTGAAGTCAGAGTGCATCTGCCTGAGAGGCAAGGAACCAACAGTCTGCATTCAAATAAGCCAGATCTGTAAAATAGATATGCACACAAAGCTTGAAGTGGATGAACAAACAGAACTTTCTCCAGAGTCTACAGTCGGCGGCTAAAAAAAAAAAAACATTTTAAACTAGGATATAATCACATTCTCTAGTTCCCTTCTCAAGACATGTCCAAAGCATGTAGGTCATTTTCTGAATCAGTGAATTTTTTGTGTGTTGAGTTAATGCATTCAAGATAACTTCATCACACTTTTTTTTTCCTCTTAATTAAATCTATCAATGCTGTTTACATCATTCTTCTATAAAATCATGCATAAAAAAAAAAAATTTTGTTCTTTTTTAATTGTTCACGTAAGAGGTTACTAAAGAAATCTGACTACAGATTTTAACAAGTAACACAGTATTTGTATGCAAGATTTATTAACTGATGTTATCTCTTTAAAAGTAATACACTAACTAATTGAAAATAAAGCATTACAAATCTGGCTGTAGATTTTAACATGCAAATCTATCTGTTAATCGAGGTTGTCTCCTTGAAAGTAAAACACTAGCTAACTAAAAATACTGCATTAAAAAACCTAGCTATAGATTTTAACAAGCAACACTGAATGATTTAAATACAAGATCTGTTAAGTGAGGTGAAAATTCAGCATTAAAACTCTGGCTACAGATTTTAACAAGTAACACAGTATTTGTAAGCAAGATTTTTTAACTTATGTTTTTTCTTTGAAAGTAATACACTAACTAATTGAAAATAAAGCATTACAAATCAAGCTGTAGATTTTAACATGCAAATCTATGATTTATATACGAGATCTGTTAATCGAGGATGTCTCCTTGAAAGTAAAACACTAGCTAACTAAAAATACTGCATTAAAAAACCTGGGTATAGATTTTAATATGCAATATTGTGTGATTTATATACAAGATCTGTTTACTGATGTGAAAAATTCTGCATTTAAAATCTGGCTATACATTTTAACAGGCAACACTGTGATTTCTACACAAGACCTGTTAACTGAGGTTGACTCTTTGAAAGTAATACACTACCTCAATGAAAATAAGTCATGACAAATCTGGCTACAGATTTTTTCCTAAATCAACCATATAAAAACGTAATTCATGCAACCCCGATCACTTACTTGAGCCATTTTCAGGAAAGTGTCATCAACGTTTGTGTTCTCTTTGGCACTTGTCTCGACTGCATCAATAAAGTTCTGGGAACTGGCTAAGGCCTGAGCTTCTGACACTGTGACTTCTCGTAAACTTTCTAAGTCACATTTGTTGCCTAAAGACAACAAAAACAAAACAACAAAATAAAATAAAATCAGTCATGAACATCCAGCCGGCACAATCTCCAGGTTTTGATAAAAGGTGCCACAATGTGGACTCAAACCCAAGATCTTCAGGTGAGTGTCTAGCCACTAGGGTACCATGGTTACCAAGAAAATTAAGGTAGACCAAAACAAAAACATGCAGAAGCTTCTTCTTAGCGCTGACTGGCGGGAGATCCTAGCTGTTTAACATAACCCTTGACCTGCTAGGGTCGTGGAGGTGTATACTGATGGAAGCAGTAGCGCATAAAACCCGCCATCTTTCTCTGTCTTCTGCTTGATGAATACATTTGTGATAACTTCGATCTGCCCATTTCTTGATGCTGTCATTCCAGGTTAAAGGTTGTTTATCCACTCCTGGACTTTGTCTAGATAAAGAACTTGCGTTTTGCATGCATTGTTTTAGAGATCTGGATTATTTGTATGCAGACTGTTGGTTCCTTGCCTCTTGGGCACTCCAACTCTGAAGGAAACCTCCTACAACAAACTTTGCTATGCTGTGGTGGGTCTTTTCTTTGTTCTTCAAAATGGGAGCCCCCAAACCCATAAGGGGGAACAAAGAAAGGCAACTAGAGAGGAGACATGAAAAAGAAAAAAGATGTGAGGAAGACTCTGGGTGAGCTACCTGCAAAAGGGAAAAACTCTGGATAAGCTACCTGCAATAGGGGAAGACTCTGGGTGAGCTACCTGCAATAGGGGAAGACTTTGGGTGAGCTACCTGCAATAGGGGAAGACTCTGGGTGAGCTACCTGCTATAAGGGAAGACTGTGTGAGCTACCTGCAATAGCAGAAGACAGGATGATCTGGCATAAATTGGTTGACTGTATAGAAGAGATCTGGGCCTCAACACACAATACTGTCAAAGATAGCAGGGTGTGCATATATCCAGTGCTTCAAACCTTCCTTGTGGAGACAGCAGAAATTCATTTTAGCACAAAACTGCAAGTAATTAAAGTCCTATCCTTTTTAGGCTTGCTGCAGAGCTCTACTTTCCCTCTCCAAGCTGATTGACTAAATATGTATTCAGTGATGTACCTGTAACTCTGCCTGATCTAACTTTCCCACCGTCATGATGTGCTCATTTTTGCTGCAGAGCTACTGATTTTAGTGCTTGATGCAGCACTGTGAGCTTTTTTAAATTTTATGTGGAATGCCTTTCATTTGTGCAGCAGTTGTGTCATGGTATTCAATACGGCCAGTAGCCAGTTTACTTGTGGGCTGGTGAAATACCTTATGTAATAATTCTACATGTCTACTTCTTCTTCTTCACGTTCACCAGCCGCAAACTCTGGCAGAAAGTTCTGGATGTTCGTCCACTTCTGGACTGCAGTCCTGTTTCAGAACCTGAGTGTTGGATGCACATTGGTTTTACAGATCTGACTTATCTGTATGCACTGTTGGTTCCTTGCCTCTCAGGCTGATGCACTCTGCCTTCAAATGAAGCTCCCAATGGGTTTATACTTGTTTTCCCTACAATAGGGCCCCGGAACCCACACAGGGAAATTCTACATGTGTATAGCCAACTTACTGTGCCCGACTACTTCCATCAATGACTGCATTTCTGATGGCGACTGTTGGCTTTGGCACCTCTAGAAACTGTCATATGCATTTACTATGTTCACAAATTTCTGGATTGTGCCAGGACTAACTGTTTGTTCATCAGTTGTTCATATGGGACAGTGAGGTACAGCAATGTAGATTTTTACTGTTGACTGCAGGAATTTTAATTTTCACTGGCACAGGAACGAAGCAAGTATAAGGTGACCCGATTGCATTGAAGTTAAAACCTCGACTAAGACTAAGGCTCCAGTTTTCTCCTTCTCATGACATGACCAAAGAATGTAGATTGTCTCCTTCTGATGTGGGCAATCAGTTCTGTTTGTGAGTCAATTTCTTTCCAGGAAAACTATCTGAGACTAACAGCATCAAAATGAGAAATGAAGTCTTACCAACAAGTAACTGTACAACATTAGGACCAGCATATCGCTTGATATCATCAAGCCATCGAGGTATTGCCTCAAATGTTTCCCTTTTGCTGATGTCATAAGTAATGATAACCCCATTGGCACTGCGATAGTAGCTCTGTGTTATTGTACGAAACCTCTCCTGGCCGGCAGTATCCCAGATTTGTAGCTGTGAAATACGAGAAGCACATCAAAAATGATTACTGTCAAATTATAAGTATAGTCACTCTCTTTTATGACAAAGAAACCTGGACAATGAAAAAACAATTAAAAAGTTATAGCCGGGAAGGCTAACCCGGTCAACAGATGCCCTCAGAAATGGGATGTGTCAGACAAAAGGCAGAATGCAATTATATCTTTGTCTGAACGCAGAAGAAGAAGAAGAAGAAGAAAACAAAAGTCAAATTAAAGTCCAGGAAAAGTGGATGCACAAAAGAATAAGTGGTATTGGAATTTAACTGAAAAGAAATTCAGGTTCTTGAGTAATTGGAGAGATTTGGAATGACAAAAGGAAGGCCGAAATATTTTTTAAATTATATTTTTTTTTTAAAGTGAAATAATGTAACCACATTAAAAGACATAAACAGGTTTTTTTTCAGCAATACTTAAAACAGTGACCATAGGATGATGCAATCCACTGTTTGTTAAAAGGATGACATAAGGAGCAAAATTCATTGTTTTGTTGAAAGTCCAATGTTCATACTGATGATGTCAATATGGCCAGCAGACCAAACCCACATCCTCAGATTGCAAGTAATGTTGTTGCACCAGACATTCTCCATGTTTCGATACAACAACAAAAAGTGCTGTATCATATAACTGACGACAGTATGCTGTGGTTAGTATGACCTACTGAACACTGTTTAGTGACCAGCAACAACTGCAGAAACTGTCAGCGTCCCATGATGAGCACATGTGGCTGATGGCTACAGGTGGGAATGTTTTATGTGCCAGAAATGCTGCAGTATATGCACAAGCTACATTCGCTGTAAATATAAAAGAACATTATTATTTGAATGTAAACAAACTATGGATTGTGTACCCTACGTTCACCATTTTTTCTTACCATCACTTTGTTTTAAGGCATCGTGTTTTCAGGGCTACTGTAGTAATAGACAACTCACAGTAAGTAAGTACTAGAACATTTTTAGACTTAATGGTGATTATCAGCACCTTTTCTTCCTCTAGAAAAAAAACCTGGACATAATAGTTAAAACTTTCTCAATCTCATTTTTTTTTAAATCATACACTGGGAGAAAAAAAAAGAGGGTTGGGGGGGGGGGGGGGGGGGGGGGGGGGAGAGACTCATGGGGAGGCAGGGGTTAAGGCAAGTGAGCAGTGATTAAGTTGACATCAATACTCTGTATACATGGAAGGATAATAATAGTAATTAATAATACTAAGAGACTAAGTTAGTAACAGCAGTCTGTATACAATGTTAAAACTACAACTACTAACTATACTACAACCAGGAGGCAGTGTGTAGTGTTAAGTGTAATTAGAAGTTAAAGTAATTGTTGAAGATCTACACATTACATATCAATCATCACTGCTGCCAATTTTTATATTATAAACTAGCTGTACCCGGCCACACGTTGCTGTGGCATAGTTTGGCTAAATGGAAATGAAAGAAAATAGAAATCGCACGTGTCTAATACAATCATTGTCTGCTCAGATTTAGAGATAGTCTTTGATCCCCACCCCACCACCCCCAACTAAATCCACCTACTACCCTCCCCCTTATCAAATTTATGTCATTACCCCCCCCCCCCCTCCCCTCTTCCACCGACTACTGCTTTCTCCCTCTTCGAAATATTTGAAAATCATTACCTGGCGATATTTTTTTGTTGCTGTAACTGACACTGACATCCCTGTCCATCTGGACTAAAATGGGGAGCAGGAATTGTAATAGGTAGTAAATGGGGCTAGTGTAATATTTACCACATCATCCTTCAAGTACCAGTACGACTACTAAAATAATGTCACTGCTATCTGTGTTACCATCGGAGTAGACAGAGAGTCGTGAGCCAAAAGATTTGGTTCCGCATGGCTAGTGCTGTCGCCACAGACTGGTCAGCTTAGGATGTATAATTTCACTTGCCGACAGAAGAACGCCATAACCTTACCGGCGGTCTTCACATGAGAGCACTATGGTGTAACAGCCCAACCACAACTATTACTACTGCTGCTACTTTAAGTGGGTAAAGCAGTTACTGTGACTTAAAGCTCTCTCGGTAAATAGTTTTGCCCCCCCCCCCCCCCCCCCAAATTCACCGACAGCTCTTTCCCTCATTGAAGTAGTTGGGAGAAAAAAAAAAACACTTGAAAAGCAAATGAACACAGCCAAAAAAAAAAAAAATAATTAGGAAATGAACGCCATGGTAAACAGAACAGCTTAAAATCCCAACGCAGATGAAATAACTAAATCTAAATGAAAATAAATGAAAATCTATAAAAATTTCAACGTAACCATGCAATCGGAAAGTTTTATAATGCAATAATAAGTATGCGAAATGGTCAAATTTAATTATCAAATGGTTTACCCATTTACTTGTGTTTTTTTTTTAAAGGCAACATGGCTAGTGCTGTAACCACGACAGAACAGATGAGGATATTATTTTAGTTCGGGGTGAAAAAAAATTAACTACTGCGGATTCGAACCCAGGTCTCCCACACAGGAACCCAGTGTTCTAACCATTCAACCAAGCAGCCACTTAATCGAATAAAGGAAAAGAGAACTTAACAATTAGAGATGTGTGTCCCTACTTCTGTGTCCTGATTAAAACACAATTCAAAACCGCAGGCAATTGTTTTTTTGTAGACAGATACTCCAGATATATTAATGAAACGGCACAACAATAGAAATCGCACGTGTCTAACACGGTTAATGAAGTTAATGTCGCAGTCACTGTCTGCGCCGACGTCGAGATAGTCCTTGATTCCCCCCCCCCCCCCCCCCCCCCCATCGAAGGTTGTTTGAAAAAAAAAAAGAAAATAGAAATCGTGTTTAATATGGTTATTGTGGCAAATATAGAGAGTCTTGTTTGATGTACCTAGACCTACTCTATGTATTAGAGAAGGCGTTGGCTGCACGTAACTCGCCGGCGAATGGCGGAAGCCTTGCATTCTGACTACGGCGGCGCATGCGCAATTACTAACGTGGCTATAATTAGAAATCATTAAAGTTATAAATATTAGTTGCGTATATTATTGCATAAATTGTGGTCACCTATCTCTAACAGTGACAGGTTGAATTTCAAACCACGACAGTTCAAAATCCGGTATCACAACAAACATATCCTGAAAATTTCAGCTAAATCGGTTCAGTAGTTTCCGAGTCTATAGGGGTGAAACAAACACACAAACATTGATTTTTATATATATAGATTATTATATTGTGGATTGGAGACGTCATACGACAGCTTACTGGCTGGTGGAGACTGGCTGTAAACTCAGGCGGAAAGTTCTGGTTGTTCGTCCACTTCTGGACTGCAGTCAGTCCTGTTCCAGAACCTGAGTGTTGCATGTGAATCCGTTTGACAGATCTGTATCATCCAGACTGTTGGTTCCTTGCCTGAGTAGGCAGATGTGAGTCTATTCTTGTTTTGCCCATAGTAGGGCCCCGGAACCCACACGGGGAACTAAGAAATAATATAAATACAGTACATATAATACCTTTACAAGTTTGCCGTCTATATTTAGTGTCTTCATTGTGAAATCTACTCCAATTGTACTGCCGTGTTTTTCTGTGTACGTCCCCGATTTAAAACGCTGCACAACACAGGTCTTGCCGACTCCAGCGTCACCTATAAGCACAATCTTGAATAGATAATCAAAAGTCTCGTCCGGATCTGCTGCACGGTACGCCATTACTAAATTATTAGGAAAATAATATGATTCGCAAAGACAGAGAAAGCTGGAAGAGCTTTCACCTTTGATAGCTCTCCATGATTAATCTTTTCTTCAGTTCAGTGTTGCCACTTTTCTTTGACAAAAAATATCCAAAACGGTGTCAAAAAATATCTAAAAAGATCTAAATCTGCGTCAAAAAGATCTAGAAAAAACATCCAAATTGAAAAAGTCAAAAATTACTTAACTTTTGTTAAGACTTACCCTACATAATCATGTCCTCACCTTCACTGATGTCTGCCTAACAAGATCCACAGGATAAACTTAGCTTGGATAATGAAGTTGAAGTTTCAGATCCAAAATGACCCTGATATGCTTTAGCTGTTCAAATTTCTTTATAAGTGGAACAGTAGGCTTATTTCTCTAGTCTCAGGCCGAATTTTAATGGCATTTAAGAGGTCAAATTTCATCCTGTTTTTTTAGGTTAGATTTGATATTATTCCTAGCAATGAAAACTCTTTCTGCGTCAGCATTTGAGTGGGGTAGTATCACGGCAGACATGGCACTTTAAAGAGCTTACAGAATGGACTGTTTGATTAGGCATCTTTAAATTGTCTCACTTTACTCCAAAACGCTTTAGTTTCTGTTTTGTTTGTCCATTCAGCTAACTTTATTCTGTTTAACTGATATTCTGCTTCCACGACACTATTATCAGTAGCCCCTAAAAATTTCATAACTTTACAATATTTAGGTATGTCCTTTATTGTATGTTGCTCACAGAAAAAAGTGAAATATTTTTTCAAAACATCTAGATTTTCAGGAAGTCTCTGCTTCAATAATGAGATAAGGAAATCTTGACAACGTTTTTTTAAGTTGTTCTCTTCATTCTCTGTTAACAGTCCTTTTGTTTTTAAATCATCAATTTTTTATTCGATTTAATATCCAAGGTGTGGCTTAGGAGCCAAATAGCTCTCTGTAGTGCAAGTGAGCAAATCAGCTAAAGAAGTTGGCAACACCAGTCTTTTACCGAGTGAAATAGCAAGATGAGATCATCAAGTAATTTAACTTTATCAACATGTTTAGATTCGAACAGTTTATTAACTTTTTGCACTTCCATTAGAATAGGTTATAAAAAGAGAATGAATTACACATTTTTGTCATCACTGTACATTCCATATAGTATTTCAGCTGTGTAGCACTTTTCACTTTGTCTTGTTATTTCAAAGTGTGTCTTCAACTTCAGCCATTGCTTCATAATTCTTTCAACAGCTGGTTAAATTGATAACCATCTAGTTTTGCAATCTGACAGAATTTTCGGTGGTGTGGAACCATCATTCAAGGCTGTATATAATGTATTGTATTGCTGTTGTCTGACAAATGATTTGGAAAACCAGTAAAGTGTTTTAGCAATAAGGTATTCCAAATTCCTTCGTAAAAATTTAGATGAAGCATGTGATAATGCTAGCTGCATTAACGATGGGTTAGCTTCCTTCAACTTGGCATAAACGCCATTGTTTATACCAACCATCACTGAGGCATTATCAGTACCAATTACAGCCAAATTCTTCAAGCCTAACTGTTTGCTGATTAAAAGGTCCTTCAGTTCCTAAACTATACTTTCTACATCATACTTTTCAAATTGAACTAGTCTAAGATTTTTTACAAACCGATCAAATGGTCACAGTTTGAAATTGCGCAGTGACAAATTAAAAACATTGCGACTGATACTTCAAATTTTGATGATTCATTTATCAGTATAGTTCTGAAAACAGATGTCAGCGGTGTAATATCTTTAAATGAAACTGCAGTTTTATGCTTTTTTAGTCTCTGCATGACTCTTCGAGTTTTGTATTTTCGCTTTCATTTCACACTTGCAGTACTGATTTACAACAAGCTTTGGTCATATCCCTAGTTTTTAATTATGTCATCATGCAACCACTCTTTCCAAATTTTTTTCTCATACTTTACTTTTGGCATGTTGAAAGGTTTTTTCAAAGTGAAAGCCACACAAGAAGGTGAACAATTTTTTTTTTAAATCACATGAAAAAGAAACACAAAGTCAGCACAGTGAGGATACGGTTGAAACAAATCTAGTAGGATTTACTTCTTCTTCTTTTGTCAAAATCTGCTTGTGCCGCTAGGCGTCGCAGTCTATCAGATGATCGGCAACCGAGCCAGGGCGCGTTCAGTCGCTTCATATGCCGTGATGTTATGAAGTCTCAAGTTGTCCGTGACTCCTTCAATCCATATTCTTCTTGGTCTTCCCCTGCCTCCATTACATTCTTTGCTTCTCAATAAATGTAACGATGGGTATGGTTCCAATAGTTCTTGTTTTCACATCGTTTCTCACTCGATCTCTTCTGGTTTTATTCGCAGCCATTCTCAAACATCTCATTTCACAGGTGGTTAGTCTTCTCTCGTGTTCTTTTGTTAATGTCCAAGTCTGACATTGATAACCTAATGTCGGTATAAAGATTGTATTATAATTTGTCTTTTTATCTCAGCTGGGACAGTATGATTTACGCGCGTTTTTATTTATCAGTACCGGGGCTGCCAGATATTTGTGCATTGACCCCAGTGAGAGTTCAAAGTTCAAGTAATGGCAGTTGTCACAATGTACGTGCTAGACCAAAACAAAAATATTGTAGTAAATATTTTACATAGTAATTATTAAATTGACAATGAAAGGAAAAAAAATCTATAAAATATCTAACTCCATATAAAAATGCGACTAGAAAAATATTTACGATCTAAACGTCAAAAACAATATCTAAATGCAATGAAAAAGATCTAAATTTGGATATAAAAGATCCAAAGTGGCAACACTGCTTTAGTTCTTGTTTTCACCGGAAGAGAGGGTTGTGCACACGACAATTGTGCATCGACAGATTAATCTCTTTGCGTCACTTTTTAAGACAACATTGCAGATTGAGATATAGATAATCTATTTACGGCCTTCTCTATTTATTAGAGAAGGCAGTGATCTATTTCAAGCAAACGAAAGGAGAAGAAGAACTTGAAAAGACAAGTGACCAAGCAAGATATGCATCCATGATTTATAAGAAAGTGCCGATGGAACTACATCGGCCATGCACTTAGAATTGAAAAGACCAGACTCCCCCATCAAGCCCACATATGAACCCTCGGAGAGGAAAAGTAAATGGGGAAGACCAAGAATGTTGAATTTAGAATCAACATCATAGCACTCGGGACACTCACCATAAACTCTTTGTCCCAAGAAACGTATCATATGTTTATAGGTTCCCAATATAGAAGCCTAATTAACGCATGATGCTCCAATTTTATGTTTATCTTTTCTACTCATTGGGCCTGTGATGCACTGTCTGATTGTATATCCGCCTCGCCTTTCCCTGAGTGTTGAGAGCTGACCAGATACCTTTGTAACTCCTCGCATCACCATTCTCCCCAGACCGTTATTTTCTGTGTCGTTATGGGAGTGTCCCGAGTGCTTTGATGTCAATTCTTAGTTCAACATTAAACAGTGGTTATGATAAAACACGTAACTTGTGCTAGACACATTGTGGTAGTTAACTTGTATCTGGCTATTTGTGGTGCTCTTGTTTGGATTGCCTTCTTTTACTCCAGTTATAATTACCATCAGCATGTGCCGTTCTAATGAGAGTGGGCGGCCATGGTTTGTGGACACAGGGAATCATGTGTGTATGTGTGAAGGACCAATATTTATAAATAAAACCCTCTAGATACTTGGCGATCGCATCATCATCATCATTATCATGTGCCCTGCCAGCTGGCGTAGGTACTCATGCGTCTCCACAGATCATGATCCCTGGTTGACCGGATCAGCCGATGCATGGCCGTCTCCACTGTACTGTAGACGGTCTTGGCCGATGCATTTCAGTTCTCAGGGTCACCAAAGTGTCTTCTATGTGGAGTCTATCCCCACCAGTGACAGAGTGTAAGTCTCTTGACAAGCGCTTTATCTATATAATGGGATCCAACTCGCCTAAGGGACTTAACGTCCAACACAGTCTTATCTATTTTTTTTTAGTTACGACCCTTGCTTTTAATGTCTTTTTCTATCTATTTATTTTTTTATTAATGACAGTAAAGGTGATGTGATTATCTATACAGCTGGCTCTGTGTTGTAAGACAGACGAAGTTGGCAGAGGTTCTTAGCAAAAACTAATGGAGGTCGCGTAGCGCAACAAAGCCTGGCAAATGGTACCATAACACCTAGTTTGAGAATGAAGGTTGAGGCGGTCTCTGCAGCCTTTCTCTTACTTGGCAGCCAGCGATGCTCACAAAACGTAGTTGTAACCCGCGACTCGCAGAGCATGTCGAGAAAGGGGAAAGAGTGGTACACTTCGTGCAGAGTGGCAAGCATCGCTTCAGAGGTCCTGGGTAATTTAGATTCCTTTGGATAGTCTGGTAGTCTTAGTTTCAGCTTCATAGCAAACGGGTTGCCCCATCTTTGCTCCGCTCCTGTGCCAGCGAAAAACACTCAGAATGTCTATCACAGTCCCTTGTGGAAAGATTGACATTCCTTTGGATATTTTATCCCGGTAATGCTGGTGTGCTGGTAATCGAACAGGCAGATAATCTGGCTGGTTCTGCGCCTCTTAGTAGTAAAATTATGCATGACAAGCTAAATGTTATAAGGGTCCTTGGGGAGCGATTGAACAGTGCTGAGGCACAAGCAGATCAGTACGGTCTAAGGAGAATGGTGAAGCGAGGAGTGACCAGAGGATCTGATCGAGGCTCAACACTCAAGAAAAAACCAAGCATGATAAATAACCATACCCTTCTCCTTCTTTTTCTTCGCACTGATCGGCTGTAAACTCCGGCGAAAACTTGTGGTTGTTCATCCCCTTCTGGACTTTAGACTTGTTCCAGAACCCAAGAGTTGCGTGAACATCCGTTTTACAGAGCTGACTTATTTGTATGCAGAGTGTTGGTCCCTTGCGTCTCAGGCAGATGTACTCCGGCTTACTGCTGAAGATGGGACGTAGCGGTTATGGGAATGTCCCTAGTACTGTGATGTCGGTTTTTGATTCAATATTGCGTGTGTCTTTCAACCCCATCAGAGCCGCACAACGAGCGACCGACACCCGGTGACACAAAGTGCCACCATTCGGATGAGGATCACTCCGACTACACCCATGGTGTGCTTTAAAATAAAGAAAAATTACGTCCCACATTGTGAAGGGAATAGTATATTCAACATTTCATAAGCCTAATTCTATTTATAATCGTGTAAATAGTACATTCTTATTCATACGCGTTATTGCTGTGTCTGCTGTGTTGTCAACAAATATGGCAGACTTAACGAATGAGCCGACTGTGGCATCGGCTTCAAACAATCCCTTGTCTAGGAAACTAAACAAGATATTAGAGACTCGCTTGGACAGTGACAAGGCATGAGTTTTTATCTTTACTAAACTCTCTTCGATAAACATCACTCATTCATTCATTCAGTAGCATGTCCCTCGCGGAACCTCGCTGCCATAACAACCCTCCGGAAAACCTTCCTATCATGAGCAAGATGTCCTGCGTCTGATACACCCATCTGGAGATCATCTGCCACATCCTGCACCCATCTTCTCCTTGGCCTTCCTCTTCCTCTCTTCCCAGGCATATACCCCTCCATTATTGTTCTCTCTAGACCTCCATGACGTTTCAAGTGACCAAAATATTTCAATTTTCTTTGTTTTATTGTCTTTACTAGCCAACCCTCTTCAATATTCAGCTCTTGAAGTATGGATGCATTTGTTCTTTTCTTTACCCAAGATATTCTTAGAACCTGTCTGTAACATTTATATTCAAATGCATTTATGCGCTGTTCCGCTTGTTTAGTAAGTGTCCAGGTCTCACAGGCGTATGTTGCAATGGGAAAGATGCATGCTCTTAAAAATCTGACCTTTGTAATTCTATCTGTACAATTCCATAATTTATTCAGTTGTTTTAGTCTTTGAAGAGCAATTGATAGTCGCCGTTTAATTCTTTCATTGTGTCACCATTGTTGGTAACCAGTGACCCTAGATATTCGAAATTTTCCACCACTTCCAATCTTTCCTCATTAACAAATATTTCTTTCTCCATGGCAGTTTTGTTTGTATGCATTATCTTTGTTTTTGCTGTGTTAAGAAATAAGTTATGATTTTCACTATTTCTTTGGAGTGAGGTTAATAAGTTTTTTCTAAACCATTTTGTGATGTTGATAGTAATACTGTATCATCAGCATAACGAATTTCTGGTATTTCATGACCACCGATGTTTAGGGCATCATATTGTTCCTTGTTTATATCATCTCTTACATTTCTCATTATATTTTCGGCGTACAGGTTGAACAAATACGGTGACAGCACACATCCCTGACGGACTCCTTGCTTGATGCCAAACCAGTCTGATGTCTCTCCATCTATTCTGACTGCTGCTTGTTGGTCTTGATAGAGCATTTTAATGAGCTGCACTATATGTGATGGAAAGCCCATATTCCTCATGATTTCCCAAAGCTTCTGATGTTGTACACAGTCAAATGCTTTTGAATAATCCACAAAACATAAGAACAGATTTACATTAAATTCTCTACACTTCTCTACTATTAAACGCATGTTAAATATATGATCTCTTGTTCCTCTTCCCTGTCTAAATCCAGCCTGAGCTACATTAATCTCTTCTTCCATTTTCTTTTGCAGTCTTCTCATTATAATTTTTAGTAGAATTTTACTTGCATGACTGATCAGGGCAATAGTTCGATAGTTTGTACATAATTTCAGGTCACCCTTTTTTGGTATTGGAATGAAGATAGTTCTATTCCAGTCTTTTGGCCAAATACCATATTTCCATATCTTTTCACATAATGCATGATAGATTTTTATGCTTTCTTCTCCTCCCGCTTTAATCAATTCAGCTGGTATCTCATCACATCCAGGTGATTTACCATTTTTCAGGCTCCTTATTGCCCATGAAATTTCATCTAATGAAGGTTCAGGTTCTGCCTCTACTGTTTCTGGTTCATGTATATCATTCATATCCTCACTGTCATTCATATCATACATTCCGCTGCAGTATTCCTGCCATCTTCCTAGAATTTGTCTAGATTCTGTTAAAGTATTTCCCAACTTGTCACAAATAACATTTAACTGAGGTTGAAAATTTCTTGTCAATAACTTCATTTCCTTGAACATTTCGTAATCTCTTCCATTTTTGTGATGCTGCTCTATTTTAATACAGCAATCTTGTACATACTGATTTTTATCCTTTCTTGTGTACTTTCTTATTTCTCGTGTTAAAAATTTATACTTCATCCTACTGTCATTGGTTTCTTCTTTCTTTTTCAGTTCCCTTCGTTGTTTTATTAGTTCTAACGTGTATGGTGTGATCCATGGTTTATTTTGCTTAGTCCTGGTGGGTATTAAGTCTTTAGCTGCTGTTATCAAGATATCCCTAGCTTGTACCGCCAGTTCATCAGGTGTCATTTCCTCTTGTACAGACATCAAGACCTCAAAACGGTTCTTCACTTCTACGTTGTATGCATCTGGTATTTTTGTGAGATCAAATCGAAATGGCCTTGGTCCTCGGGTAAGCTTTTTGAGTTTTAATTTCAGATCTGCTTCTAGTAACTGATGATCTGTATCGCAATCTGCACTTCGCATGGTTTTTGCAGATGTTATGCTCGATCTCCATCTTCTTTGTATTAAAATGTAATCTATCTGATTTTTGGTAACACCGTCAGGGGATGTCCATGTGAAAAGCCTTCTAGGTGTTGTTTATAAAGTGTGTTAGCTATTGTTAATTCATTTTCTATGCAAAATTCAATCAATTTTTCTCCTGTTTCATTTCTATTACCCAATCAAAATTTTTCCTAAAACGTGTCTCTCATTTTCAGCTCTGCCTGTACCTACTTTAGCATTAAAATCTCCCATTATTATTATTATATCATACTGATTAATTTTATTTAATGTGTCTTGCAGTATGGCATAAAAATCTTCAATTTCGCCCTCCTCTGCTGTTGAAGTTGGTGCATATACCTGTATGAAAGTTATGTTTTTTGGACGGCCTTTAAGTCTGATAGTTAGGATTCTATCACTAACTGGATTATATACCATATTAGCTTTTGCTGTTGTTTTATCTAAACAAAATGCCACTCCGCTCTGGCCTCTTACATCTCTACCAGAATATACGAAAAAGCTTCCATATTCATTGATAAAATGTCCCTTGCCACTCCAACGATGTTCACAAATTCCTAAGATCTGAATATTTAATCTTTCAATCTCATCACATACTACTTTAAGCTTTCCTTCATACAGACTTCTCACATTCCACGTTCCTATTCGCATTCTGTTTCTTAGTCTGACACAGTGGATTTCCTTGGTAACACAGTCAGGATTAACTCCGTCATCACGATTACTAGTACTGACCCCTGTATCACACTCTTCCCCAGTGTTATCTGATCTGCCTGGCCTGGGGGTCTCGCCACCAGATCTCTTCTGTGTTATGTTTTCTTTCATGATTGTTATGGGTTCTTGGCAAAATTTGCAGAAGGTAGTTTGCCGTTGCTTTCCTCCTGAGCAGTGACTATACTAGTCGGTGGCCATAGCCATTGTCTCTACTGATGAGATCATCTGCCTATCGCCGCAGAGTGCAGACCATAACCAACAATACCTGTCGGCTGCTCTTACACTCCATCCACCACCTGCTTCCATGGCTTCACGTAACCCTGATTGGGGGGCTAAACGGGTACTCCACCTTGCCCAAGGGTGTCCCGTAGACTAGCGGAGGAAAGGAGGCGTCTTACTTCTCCTTTGATAGGGGATACCCCTACCCCGCTAACCAAATAAACATCACTAACGGCATTTATTACCGTTGCTGCTAAGTCACCCACACTTTTTGATTCAAATTTCTTCAAACTTAATCATAATCTATGATTCTAATTAGATAGAATTTCTATCCACTCCACTACTGTCAGTCTTCACTCTCCTCCAATTATTGCTTTATATTATTGGCTCTCCTCCGAACTTCTACCCCGGCATTATGGCGGCCAAACACATATACTGACAGGGCCTCAGTCCTATTGAAAAATGCGAACTTGTCGGACTCCCTGCCGAGGAACAAATCGCGGCAAAACTAGGATTAGTTGACAATTTTCTTCGTCTTCTTCGTGTTCACCAGCTGTACACTCTGGTGGAAAGTTCTGGTTGATCGTCCACTGCAGTCCTGCTCCAGAACCTGAGTGTTGCGAGTGCATCAGTTTTACATGTCTCATTCTCTTGAATACAGACTGTTGGGCTCTACTGGCAAATCCGGACGAAGAATAAACAGACTTGGACGACTTAGTCAGAGTTATCTCCCGTCGCCGCACTCCGAACAGTAATCGGAAAACAAACGAAACAAACGACAAACTTACCTATCATCCTGCGGTTGCGTGTAGGGCTGCGTACGGTTGCGTGAGACATCGTGGCATCATCATATGGTTGCGTGCACAGTTGCGTACGGTTGCGTGAGGCATTGTGAATGGTTGTGTAGTCATCATCATGCGGTTGTTGGATTAGAGTTAGGGGTAGGGTTAGGGTTAGGGTTAGGGGTAGGGTTAGGGGTAGGGGTAGGGTTAGGGGTAGGGTTAGGGTTAGATGTGAAAATTTTGACGTAGGATTTCGAAATACTGGCCGACAATATGATGTTTGTGGGAGTGGCGCCACTGAAACTCTGCCAAATATGACGCCAATAGCGTGCGGCTGGTGCCCCCAATCGTTGGCGAATTGTGCGTGTGACCAGCATCCAGAGGCCCTCGATTGTTTGTTTGTGTGTATGGGACTGTGCGCGATTATAGGGAACTCCGGCGTCAAAATTGTCAAATCTAACGCTAATCCTAACCCTACCGCTAACCCTAATCCTAATCCTAACCCTAACCCTAACCCTAACCCCTACCCCCCTAACCACGCAAATTTATCGATCATTAAAGCATACAAATCGGCAAACACCAACAAACAAAACACACCCAAAAAAAAAAACACCCAGAATTTTCCTGCAGCGTCGAAAAAAACCCCAGATCTGGGGGAAACAACCAAGCATTGGCAGCCCTGATGTCGACGTGACTGTCTTCTTTGTTTCGTTGTGGATTTTCCTATCACTGTTTGGAGTGCGGCGACGGGAGAGAACTCTCACTAAGTCGTCCAAGGCTGTTTATTCTTCGTCCGGATTTGCCAGTAGAGCCGACTGTTGATTCCTTGCCTCTCAGGCAGATGCACTCCGACTTCAAAGAAAGCTCCCTAATAAGTCGACTCCTACGACATGCTTTTAGGGAGGCAGTGGGTCTATTCTTGTTTTCCCCACAATGGGGCCCCGGAACCCACACGGGGGTTCACAATTTTAGGAGACGCAACACTGCAGACGATAATACTATTAATAGCCACATGGCGGGGAGACCATGCGCTCTGACGCAGATTATCGTCGTTGTTGTCCTCACACTTTTCGACATGCGCAAAACGCGGTTAAACTCACTGCCGACAGTAACCCCCGCGCCGCGCGTATGGGGATCTAAACTAGGTGCCTGGGACTCACGAGCAAATAAATTAGAGGAAGTTGCTGGAGATGCTGTAGCTGCTGCTCGTGAGTCCCAGCTATCTAGTTTAGCCCCCCATCCGCGCGGCGCATAGCGGAGCGGGGGATACTGTCGGCGGTGCGGCATAGTCGCAGAAACAGGTCCGCAATTAACATATCGCTGACCCTGTTAGAGCATTTGTTTCATTATTCGGAGCTGATCCTAGTTTTGCCGCGATTTGTTCCTTGGCAGAAAGTCCACATTTTACACACGACTGAGGCTGTTAATGGAATGAACCATGGTTTGCACTGACTTGGAATGAGTCGTGGCTTTCTACCGTCACTTGACAATGTACCTTGGCTTTCGACATATCTGCTCTCACCATGGCTCACTCTCTGGATGATTAATTCGCACTGCTCTAACGTCTAGGATTGATAACACAACGCCGCTCAGCTTCCTTGTACATGCTATCAGTTTATTCCGTTACATTTTTTCGACATGCTCCAACAATTATTCACACTTCCATCGCTTGTGACATATTCAAACATTGGTCATTCGCGCGACATCAGAACTACAACTTCATATAACACAACCGTCTTCTACGACTTCTGGTAACCAACTGACCACGAGGCTAGCTCGGGCTTTCCCTCGCTTACTCGACTAGCCACAAATATCTCATACCGTCACTTGTAGCACAGACTTTCTGCTTGCCACAATGTACTCGTGGAGACCATGCAAAGCACCTCATCACAGTTAAAATTGTTGATAAAGATATTCCCTCTATAAATATAAATCTGAGGCAGATTGTTGCAAACCAGCCTGGTTGACCTAGTCTTCTTCTTCTGCTTCTTCCTCTTCTTCCTAGAATTTATCAGCTGTAAACAGCAGAAAGTTCTGGTTGTTCATACACTGCTGGACTTTAGTGGTCTTGATCCAGAATTTGAATTTTGCATGCATATCTGTTTTACAAATCTGATTTATTTGTATACAGACTTTGGTTCCTTGCATCTCAGGCAGGTGCACTTTGACGGAAATGCACCTAATTAGTTATCTCCTATGACATGCTTTTGAGGGAGGCAGTGGGTCTACTTTTTGTCTCCACAATGCAGCTCTAAAAACCCATACGTTGAATGAGTTCATCTAAAATGGGTACTAGGAAATTCCCAGGAAAGTAAAGGCTGGGCAGCATGATAATGACCACATCACCCTAGGTGCCAGTTGGTGTACAAAAAGTTTGTGGCTGTGATGTTGATAAATGACTTTAACATATCTTCAAGTACTGGGGTTTGATTTCTATGACAGACACTTTATTTAACAAACAAACAAAAAAAAAAAAAGTTTCGGTCTATTTTGTACACGGTACATATGTAACGTCACAACAGTTTGGAGAGAACAATAATGGAGGGGTATATGTCTGGGAAGAGAGGAAGAGGAAGGCCAAAGAGAAAATGGGTGCAGGATGTGGCAGATTATCTCCAGATGGTTGTATCGGACACGGGAGGTCTTGCTTGTGATCGAGAAGTTTTCTGGAGGGTTGTTTTTCGTAGAAGGTTCTGCAAAGGACATGCTACTGACTACTAACATCTGTATACATTTAATCAGATTCTGAAAAATATAGTGGCAGGGAAAAGAAAGGCCAAAGAGAAGATATGTGCAAGATGTAGCAGATGATCTCCAGATGGGTGTATCTGACGTAGGATGTCTTGCTTGTGATCAAGAAGTTTTCTGGAGGGTTGTTATGGGTACAAGGTTCTGCAAAGGACATGCTACTGACTACTGACATTTGTATACATTTGGTCAGATTCTGAAAAATATAGTGGCAGGGAAATCACAGGAAATCTAGAGAAATATCAACTTCTGTCGAAAAGGTTAGGGACTTACCGTCCCAAAAAAGGAGAGTTGGACATATGCCGCAGTCCTGGCTTTTATGAATATGAGAAGTTCCAGAACAAACATGAAGCCGTGATGGCAGCACTGGAACTAGAAGATGTATGTAACCTCTGAACAACAAAAATTTAATGTCTGCAGTGAATCTTAAATGTAACTAGAAGAGACAGGATCAGAAATGATGATATCAGGAAAGAAATTGTGATGGAACCAGTATTAGACTACAAAAGGAAACAACAGATCAAGTGTGGTTAACATATGTCAAGACTTCCACCAGATTCACCCAGCCTCCAGATAATGGGTACCAGAGTTAACACTCTGGGGTAAATGGAGGAAAGTCGCTGTAGCTACGAAGTTGCATGCGGACGGTGACACAGGCGGACAGTTTCTTATCTGCTGTCCATACTGGTGGCAGAGCACTTATGGCTTATAATCGTGTGCAATGACACTGGTTCACATCTCCTGACTTTACCTTTACTACAGAAAGCTGTGTCACTTAGACATAATGGAAGCAGCCTAGAGGTTGACCCCACAGGCGATGGATGGATGGAATATCTGAGGCCATAAAAAGAAGAAGAAGAAGATATGTTGTTTTACTGTACACACTTTTGGATATGGAGATCAGTCCCGGATCATCAACTGGGTTGCAGTGGTCCTGTATGAACATCAGACTCTCTTTCGCCTAGGTTCAGTGAGCTGTGAACCCTGTAGTATGGCACCTGTCCTCCCTCAGGAATCCACAATTTCCCCAGTGCTTTTCAATGTGTACACAAGCAGGACAGCAGCAATAGAGGCAGTGAATATACTGGGTTTTTGACTTTTGCTGATAACTTCTTAGTCAACGGACGTAGGATAAAAATAATAGAAATATCTAGAAGACCACGGTAGATAAGGTAGGTAAGTTTTGGTAAGAAAACAGGCTCTAACATCAACCCAGATAAGGCAGCTGTATTGTGTTTTTCAGCAAATTGCTTTAGAAAATTAAACTTTTAATCAAGTTGCAACTACTGTTAGCATATAGACTTTTCATTGGCTACTGAGGAAGGAGATGGCACACATGTGAAGTCTAAAGTGCAGGGATGTCACTTCTTTCGTTCATTCATTCATTGGACATGGTGCAAGAGTTGCCTGGTGGAAGATATTGTGGCCTCACTACGTGGTATTCCCAGAGACAGCAGTGGCCAGCCTCAATTGTGGAGACGGCAACAGTTAAAAAAACCATGTGACATAAACATTGTTCATAATATTTCTTTTCTCACAAATGTCTTATTTGTTTCTGTTTTTTTAGGAACTGCTTGAAGCACTGAAAGCCCTCTCCAATTTCTTTACAGAGAACAGTTTGCGAAACCGACGTAACCTACGCAGTGACATTGAAAAGAGAAGTCTTGCAATAAATGAAGAGTTTTTAGAAGCTTTCCAAGTGGTGAAAGAGGTATTTTGTGCAACTATATCTAAGACTTTATCTAAATCTAAAGCGAAACTTTAGAGAAGGCAGACACTAGTATTAGTGCAAGATAACTTTATGATCACTTTAACCCTTTCAGTATTAGACATCCCTGCTTGACTTCCTAGGCTCAATTTTGAGGGGAGAGGGTACCACACGCCCGCGTGCACACATGCATGCATGCACACGCGCACATCCCCCAAAGCATGGTGTAAAAGACTACCTAGGGGTTGCTGAAATCAGATGAAATCAAGCAAGTTGATATGTTTAAGTACTCGGGTACCCTGATAAAGGCAGCATTTTACAAAATAAAGAATTTTTAATGCGGTCTTTCTTTGTCAATTGAGACAAGAAAGAAAATTCTCATGATCTTTATAATTTTATCCTGATATATAAAAGTAAATCATGGACAGTTGGAAAATTAGGTCAACAATTATTTGGGAACAGAGGATATTTTTTTTTTTTTTTCAAACAACCGAGCAAAATGTACAGGACAGATAAAAGGAGCAATGATGATATCTTGAAAGAAACTGACTCAAAAAGCCAGATCAGAAGGAGACATGTACATTCTTTGAACATGTCTTGTGGAGGAGAAAACTGCAGTCCATCATGACGGTGGGAAAGTTGGATGGGAAGAGTGGCAGAGGGAGACCGAGATAGAAGATGCTAGGCAGACTGACATCATGTCATGGAAGATCATCTGTGTCAGAATTGATTCTCAAATATAGTTTCAAACTATGTCAGTGATTGATTTTTGTCTTTTTCCTGTATCAACTTGACGGTGTGTGATTGATTTTTGTCTTTTCCCTGTATCAACTTGAAGGTGTAAGCCTGATTTTTGTCTTTTTCCTGTAGCAACTTGACCACATGAAATTGATTTTTGTCTTTTTCCTGTAGCAACTTGACGGCGTAAGATAGAATTTTTTCTTTTTCCTGTAGCAACTTGACGGCGTAAGATTGGTTTTTGTCTTTTCCCTGTAGCAACTTGACGGCGTGTGATTGATTTTGTCTTTTCCCTGTAGCAACTTGACGGCATAAGATTGAATTTGTCTTTTCCCTGTAGCAACTTGACGGCGTAAGATTGAATTTTGTCTTTTTCCTGTAGCAACTTGACGGCGTAAGATTGATTTTTGTCTTTTCCCTGTAGCAAATTGACGGCGTGTGATTGATTTTTGTCTTTTTCCTGTAGCAACTTGACGGCGTGTGATTGATTTTGTCTTTTTCCTGTAGCAACTTGACGGCGTGTGATTGATTTTTGTCTTTTCCCTGTAGCAACTTGACGGCGTGTGATTGATTTTTGTCTTTTTCCTGTAGCAACTTGACGGCGTGTGATTGATTTTTGTCTTTTCCCTGTAGCAACTTGACGGCGTGTGATTGATTTTTGTCTTTTCCCTGTAGCAACTTGACGGCGTGTGATTGATTTTTGTCTTTTCCCAGTAGATACTTGACGGCGTGTGATTGATTTTTGTCTTTTCCCTGCAGCAACTTGACGGCGTGTGATTTTTTTTGGTCTTTTCCCTGTAGCAACTTGACGGCGTGTGATTGATTTTTGTCTTTTCCCTGTAGCAACTTGACGGCGTAAGATTGTTTTTTTTCTTTTTCCTTTAGCAACTTGACGGCGTGTACTCTGATGTCCAGGCTATGAATGAATGCTGTCAGGACATGGCCAACAGGCTGAAGGTATGTTTGGGCTGACTGTTTGCTATGTGGAAGATTAGCAGTTAAATACATCCTTCTTATATGGGATGTTTAATGTTAGCAGACTCTGTTGTACCTTTTTTATTTGAGATATTCAAAGCTAGAAGACTGTTATGCCTTTTTCATTTGGGATATTGAGAGCTAGAAGACTGTTATACCTTTTTCATTTGAGATGTTCAGAGCTAGAAGACTCTGTTATACCCTCTTCATTTGAAATGTTCAGAGCTAGAAGACTCTGTTATACCCTCTTCATTTGAGATGTTCAAAGCTAGAAGACTTTGTTATACCCTCTTCATTTGAGATGTTCAAAGCTAGAAGACTTATACCTTTTTCATTTGAGATGTTCAGAGCTAGAAGACTCTGTTATACCCTCTTCATTTGAGAGGTTCAAAGCTAGAAGACTCTGTTATACCCTTTTCATTTGAGATGTTCAAAGCTAGAAGACTGTTATGCCTTTTTCATTTGGGATGTTCAAAGCTAGAAGACTGTTATTCCTTTTTCATTTGAGATGTTCAGAGCTAGAAGACTCTGTTATACCCTCTTCATTTGAGATGTTCAAAGCTAGAAGACTTATACCTTTTTCATTTGAGATGTTCAAAGCTAGAAGACTCTGTTATACCCTCTTCATTTGAGATGTTCAAAGCTAGAAGACTGTTATGCTGTTTTTATTTTCCCCTTCTGTGTTCCAGGCCCCATTGTAGGGTTTTAAAAAAGGGTTGGCCCACTGCCTCCCTAACAAGCATGTCATAAATGTTGACTAAGAAGGAGATTCCTTTTAAATTAGTGCATTTGCCTGAGAGGCAAGGAACCAGCAATCTCTTTATTTGAGTATAAAGTTAACAAACTCTTTCATATTATTTTCATTTAGGATTAATAAAGTTAACAGACTCCATTTTATCATATATACAAGAGTCCACTAAATCTTTTTTGTATCAGGTGTATTCATAAGCACACCGTGTTAAATACTTTTTATTTAAAATGTAGAAAGCTAACTACATTATATTCTTCTGATATAAGATGTGTAAAGTTAGCAGGCTTGTTTTCGATGCATTTATGGTATATTGGCTTTTGGCACTTGGTCCACAAGATAAGGACCAAAACCACAAGTTAACGACCGGAGGTCACTCTGTGGCTGATACTGTCAGTATTGTGCTGACAACCACCCAGACCCTTTGCAGGTGGACTAGACTTTTGTAAATAAAGCTGAGTAAATCCTGGATTACTGTAAAAGTAAAAAGACACTTTTTCTGTGCCATCAGGCATATTAATCATAAAGTGCTAGTCTTGTATTCTATACACTAATTGGCAGTTGGTGAGTGATGTGGTCAACATCATGCTGGCCGCCTTTGCTTCCCAGGACTTCACCTGGTACCCATTTAAAGCTTGGTCGACCTTGGAGCCAAGGCCTTTTTTGAAAAAAAATGTCATTCTCCATTTGGATTTGAACCTTCTACCCTCAGATCGGCAGGTAGGTGTCTAGCTGCTACACAATGATGGTGCTTTAGAGTAATGTGTTTGTGGGGGGAAGGGGGGGAGAGCTGTGTCACAAGGGGTTTCAATCCAGGATCACTGGTGTAGCAGAGGAGTCACTAGCACTGTTACTGCAGGTCTCCTGGAGATTCTACTAGGTGCTTTTTTGATTCCTTTTAGGAGAAATTAAAATAAACTGAGAGAAGTAATCTTAATAATGTTTTACCCCCGTGTGGGTTTCGGGGCCCCATTTTTATGTAGAAATGTCCTCTAAGTCGGAGTGCATCTCCGGTGGGAACCAACAGTTTCAAGAGAATGAGATCTGTAAAACATGCACACCAACACTCAGGTTCTGAGCAGAACTGCAGTTCAGTTTCACCAGAGGTACAGTTGAACGCGACAGAAGAAGAAGAATAATGTTTTTATATTTTTATGGAAAGAAGTGGTTCTCAAACCCTTTTCTGGGTTGAACGAACCTTTCAAAGGGTTCACCTAAGACCATCGGAAAGAACAAATTCATTAAAGTTATAAAGGAAAATAATTGTTGTGGGGGGGGGGGGGGGGGAGCTACAACAAGAGGGAACGCAGCATTAGGAGGGTTGAGAGCCACTGCTCTAGCAGTTATCTTAAATTCAGTTTTATAATAAAAATATTTTCATGCTGTAATTTCAGGCAGCCAAGGCAAATACACACCACCTTATTTCACAGACCACATCACTGCACAACGAGAGGTGCTTTGATTTTAACATCTTTTTACATTGTGATTGTTTTATTAATCTGTATGTTTTAATGAGCTTGAATAAAGAATTGTAGGGGAGGTGGGGGGAGGGGGGCAGGTTAGAAGTGGGAGAGAGAGAGATAGATGTTTTTTTTTAGATCTCCCTATGTGGGTTCCAGGGCCCCATTATGGGGAGAACAGCAATACCCCCACTGCCTTCCCATCAAGCATATAGTAAGAATCGACTAACTGGGGGCTTCCTTCGAAGTCAGAATGCATCTGCCTGAGAGGTAAGGAACCAACAGTCTTCATACAGATAAGTAAGATTGGTAAAATTGATGTGCACACAACAATTAGGTTCTGGAACCAGACTAAAGTCAAGAGGTGAATGAACAACCAGAACTTTCCACTGGAGTTTACAGCCAGTGAACAGCAAAAAAGAAAAAAAACTGTAGGTCAGAATCGGTTACAGAAGTAAACAGAATTGCTTAATACAGGTGATGTCTGTCAAACTGGAATAGAAGTTGATTAGAATAAAATGTGATCTAGTAGCTGGACACACACACACATAAGACAAAGAAAATCAAATGTAAATAATCATTACTACAAACTATGTTGCACTGTTTCTAGCCTGGCATGTCTTAGTGAATCTGTTCAGGTACATTACTACAATTTCAACATGTAATGAAGCACAGAACATGAATCCTTTTAACCGAAATAACAAATCATATTTTGTCTTGTTACTGTAAATATGTCACCAATGGAAGTCTAAGATAAAAGATTATGCACATCTCACCACAAAAGTCTGAGATTAGCTGTCGGATCCCTTTGTATAATGTAAGATTCATCTTAATTGCTACGGCATCCGCCAATTTTAATAACTGCCTGTTCATTGTGTAATAAAGAACTCAGAAGGCATAATCCCTTTCATTTGATTAGGGAGCATACATTTGAAACCCGTTCGTGCCAGAATGTGCATAATTATATATAGTGAACATGACAATGTCATAGTCATGTGCTAAGTACTGACCGATGAATAAAAGAGCATCTGCTTATTATCCCATGATGCCTAGGCTCTGTTTCTGACCATTGAAAAAATCGGCAGGTTCATCCAGAATCTGCTTAAGGAAGGTCAGAGAACAGGGAACCAGTGGTAGACTGGGACACAAATGTTTTGGAAAACCTGTGAGTTCATGAAAGATCTTCCACAGCCGGGTTGAGTTCAAATTGTTGCAACAGAAAAAAAGCCATTGCCAGAACTGATGCAGCAGTACAGTTTGTGACCTGGTCCTGGTGCGTGATTCAACAGTTCTAATTCCTGCCTATAAATGACTGCTAGTTGAGAATTTAAATAAGGTAGCTAGATAGTCAGTTTAAAAGCACTAGAGATGTAGGTAGACTAGATCATATTTAATGGAAACAAAAGCAGAGGTTTTAAAGAGACCGGTAATGTAAAGAATGTTATTGAAATAAAAAGAGACATGTGAACTGTTTTGACTGCATGAAAATGCATAGGAATCTTATGAAAACCATTCTGGAGGGGAAAATGGAGAGCACATGAGGAAGGGGTAGACAGTGATACAGATAAGAGGATAATGCCAAGAGATGGATGAACAGCAGCCTGAGAGTGTACAACAATGGCAAGCAATAGCGAGTTTAGGATCCATAGCAGCTATTCTTTATCAAGGTTGAATTCAGGTAACTTCCTTCTGGGTTTCAGGGCCTCGTTGGGAAAATATGAATAGACCGACTAAAGAATTCATTTACATGTAATGATCCATGATCTTGGATTTTATTGTGGCTGCAGGAAGCAGGGGTGTATTAGGTGTGTTCTCAGTCAGTGTGTTACTGAAATGATCAGAATGTACACTCTGTGACACATGCTGTAGAAGATGAAGCACCTGAGAGTTTGCCCAAAATGCTATAATATTGATTCTTGAAACCAAGAATGTTTTACCCCTTTGTAGTAGTGGCCAAAGTGAATATAGACTGTTTTCTATTTTTTTTTTTTTAAAATTAGATACAGTTAAAAGCACAGAATTTAGTTGTTTTATTTTAATAGCATTCTAAATAAGCTAGATTGTTTTTTCATATACAGCCAAAAACTTCAAGTGAAAGAGCAGGTTGCACATGCATTTCTGGATAAATTTCAGTTGAAACCAGAAGAAGTAAAAATTCTCAGAGGTACAAGGGATGGCGCCTTACAACCTGTAAGTTTATTTATTTGCATTCTTTTTGTTGTTGTTGTTGTTGTTGTGACATCGACAGTTCTTGAATAGTATATAACCAAATGTTAAAGTAATTATTCTAAATTATAATTTAAAAACTAGATTATACATCTAATGTTGTGTCAGTTTTAACATATCCTTTTAAACATAGGGAGAGAACCTCTAAAGTTATGGAATGAAATCTGAAGGCACTTCGAAAACAAATACCTGAGGAAATTGATGAAGATTAAATGAGAGGAATTCTAGAAAGATGAAGAAGTAAGAGAAATGTATGGGCAATCTCTAGTATCACAGTTATAAAGCAAAGAAGATGGCATTAAATTGGGTGTATCCTGAGCATAAACAAGCAGAAAAATTTTTTGGGCACTTAAATTGGAAACAAATATATTAAATGAACGACGTCCAGGAGAAACCTTAAAGCGAACGTTGATCAGAAAGGCCAGCATTGCTGGACTGGTCCATCCAGGATATCAAAAAGATAGTATTTGATAGAATGGAATGGAGGAATTCGCTGGGAACCCCAGTGTGACATATTATTGACCCAACAGGAGGATGCTGTTAATGCACTTGAGTTTGTTATGAAAAAATGACTGCAATGAAAGCACAAGACATAAAAAGGAACATTGAAGCCATACATTCCTTGAAAATTAAAGACAAAAATTGCCTTGACATGAAGTTGTATGATTGGAGTCTATAACATCAAAAGACTCATTTTCCCATGTGGGTTCCACGGTTGCACTGTTGGAGGAAAAAAGAATAGACCCCTCCTCCTCAAAGCATATTGTAAATTGTCAGCTAATTAGGGGTGTGGCCTTTAAAGTTAGAGTGCATCTGCCTCCTGAAAGGCGAAGACACAACAGTCTGCACACAAAATAAGTTAATCTGTAAAACGAATGTGCATGCAAAACTCCAATTCTGGGAACAAGACTAAAGTACAGAAGTGGATGAACAACTAGAATTTCTGCGCAGGAGTTGACAAAAAGTTGAAGAAAAACAAAAGACAAAGGAGTACACTTTTTAAAATGTTGTTTTACTTTGTATGAGCTGCATTAGCCTTGTGCTAGCATGCTTGCCTGCTAACCTGATAGTTGTGTTCAACTCTGCACTTAAGCTGGGTTTTTTTTTTCACTTGAAATTTACCTGAGCTCAAAGATCAATCCAACCTGATAGGAGTACCATGAAATAAGCTGGGAAATAAAGGCTGGCATGGTTTTGATAATATTGTGTGATAAAACCGGGGAGAACCACAGTCAAGCTAGTATCAAGAAATTAACCCATTGATGTGGTTAAGAAGCTAAAGAAAGATGGAAAAAACACAAAACAGGAATAATTGGTGGCCAGGTTACTTTCCCGCTTGTTGTTGTGTTTTTGTTGATGAAGACTGCTGCCGAAACATCAAATTGTTAACAGTTTGTGTTTTTATAGGTAAAGGCTGCTGCGGAAACATAAAATTGTTCATAATATGTGTTTTTATTGATTAAGGCTCCTGCCAAAAACACCTAATTGTTCATGATGTGTCTTTTCCTCTTTCCCATCTTTATTTAGCTTCATAGTCGCAGTTGAGTGGTTTAATTTTTGTGATCATATTACATGTTAAGAAAAAGACAAACATTAGTCTTTGGCCACATAATGAGAAAAGAGACAATAGAGAACATTGTGACAACTGGAAAGATTAGTGGAAAAAGGGGTAGAGGCAGACCAAGAGAGATGATGCTGGATGGGCTGAAATGATGGCATGGAGGGATATCATCAAGAGAGCTATTCCAGGTAACCAGGGATCGAGATCTATGGAGACGCATGAGCGCCTTCGCCAGTTGGCAGGGCATGTGATGATGATAATTCTTGTTGAGTGCATCATCTCATCTCATCTTCATCCTGTGGTAACTGTGGTGTGGAGGTGAAGTATAACTGACAGGAAAGTGCCCATTTGTGCACTTTCTAAATGGAGATACCCAGGGACTCTTGTTCTGGAAAAAGAAAATTTAAATAAGAATTTATGCAAATGTTTATGGCTTCTGATAACTACTGTATTATTTCCAGGAGTTTTTTAAAGCTTTGGCAAGAGTGAAACAGATCCACAGTGATTGTAAGATCCTTCTGCGAACTAACCACCAGACTGCGGGGTAAGATTTATTGACTTTGCAGACTTTAAATGATAAAAACTTGACCTGGGTAATTAGCGCCCTTTAGATTTTTTCTCCAGGTCATGCTGGTGTATTTGGAAACGAGCAGCAGATAAGTCTGGCCGGTTCTGCACTACTTGGTGGTGAATTGATGTATGACAAGCTAGATATTGTGAGTGCCTTTTGTGAGCGAGTGAACAGTGCAGAGGCACAAATAGATCATTATGGTCTGAGGAGAATGGCGCTGCGAGGAGTTGCCAGGGAATCTGGCCGATGCTCAGCACTCAAGGGAAAAGCGAGAAGGATATACAGTCAGACAGTTACTGGTGTGATCGGAATTGGAACTCTTTGCTTGCTGCTGAAGATGGGAGGGGGAGAAATTATGGGAGTGTCTCGAATGCTGTGATGTCAATTCTTAATTAACATTCAACAAATGATAAAATTATTTATATAATAACCAGAGGAATGGCTACTTTCAAAATATTTTAGAATTGAAAAACTGTATTAGATTGTAATCAACAATATTTTGTTATGGCAGTTTGCTCATGTTAATTTATATAATTTCAGCCTGGAAATCATGGAATCAATGGCCCTTCACCAGGAGTCTGCATATGAACGGTTGTACAGGTGGACGCAAAGTAAGACATTTCTGATTGTGTTCTGCTGTGGTGGGGAGGATAGAGATCTGATTAAAACATGTATTTGGGCACTGCATGAGTTAGCAGAGTGCTTTGTTCTCTTCTACCCTTCATCCCTCAATGGAGAATGGACCTTAACTAGTTAGAGCCAAATCATCCTATTCTTTGACATTGCTTTCATCTCACGTTTGTCTGTGTGGGTTTCCCTTTATTTCTTTGGCTTTGTGAGTTCCAGTGCAAGAAAATTACTGTTATTATGTTATGAAGCTTTCTCAATAGGCCCTGTCCAGAGCCATCATCTTTTCCTCATCTCTTGATTTAGTTTAATTTGTTTAGTTCTCTCACTCTGTGTACACGATTCTGCCATAGCATTTAACTCCTTGTATTCTGCACTAGCATCAGTTTAAGAATTATTTTTTTAATTTTATTTCTCAACATAGAAATGAATGGAGGTTCATTGCAAAAGGTGAATAAATGATGTTTAGTGCATAAAGACTAGCTTATGATTCCACAACTCGTTTGAGAATAGAGCTGCAGCAGTAGCTCGCTGCAGAATTGTGCTGGCTGGAGAATCAGTTGCCACAAGAGTGACCAGGGGATCTGATCGACTCCCAACACTCAGAGGAATGGCAAGAAGGAAGTTCAATCAGACTGCTACTAGTAACATTGGAATTGAAACTTTGTGCTGGCTGCTGAAGATGGGGATGGAGCCCTTATGGAAATGTGTCTCAAATGCTCTGATGTTATTTCTTTACTCAGTTCAACTCATTCTTAACAAAGATATTGATTAAAGTAAAGTATTAGCTTGATTGCTGAATGGGATAACAGAATGTTATAGCACTTTAAATGTTTCCCTGGATTTTAATTGAGTGGACAGAAAAGAAAGAATGTGATAACATACAATTAACAAAGGATGTAAGTAGAGATCTGCAGAGAAACAACACACTCAAACTCCAGTTATCTCATACTGAGTGTGTACCATTTCTTTTCCTTTAAAATTTGTCAAAATTAGTCACCCAGCTTTGACGTCACAGCACTTGGAACTCACCCATATGTACTCAGTCTCCCTCCGAAGATAGTTCCCTTTAGGATCTCTTACTTTCTGATTTGTTGTGACTGAGTGATTTTCACAGAAGGTTGATTTTGATTGGCACCTTTCCGTCTTTCCAGATGAAAGTGTCCTATTGCACTATGAGGAGACATGAGACTCACAGCCCATGGCGATGGCGAGGGTGAATAACCCGCCCAGGTTAAGAAAAGTCTTCCACAATTATAGTACGAGATAGATTATGTCTTTAGGGAATATGGTCACAGAATAAATAATTGAGAAGACAAGATAATTTTTGTTTCTTGCACCTTTCAGATCAGTGTCGGCTTGTAACTCAAGACACACCTGATGTTAGCCCACTTCTCTGCCAGGCAATGGAAGCCCTGCAGGACAGACCTGTGCTGTTGAAGTATGTATATTTTTGTTCTGTTCAGATATATCGCATCATACAAGATCTGAAAACTGACTTACAAACAGCATCATGTCTCAGAAACTGAAGTACATTGTGAAGCTGAAGTACACTGTGAAGCTGAAGTACACTGTGAAGCTGAAGTACACTATGAAGCTGAAGTACACTGTGAAGCTGAAGTACACTATGAAGCTGAAGTACACTGTGAAGCTGAAGTACACTGTGAAGCTGAAGTACACTATGAAGCTGAAGTACACTGTGAAGCTGAAGTACACTGTGAAGCTGAAGTACACTGTGAAGCTGAAGTACACTATGAAGCTGAAGTACATTGTGAAACTGAAGTACACTGTGAAGCTGAAGTACATTGTGAAACTGAAGTACACTGTGAAGCTGAAGTACATTGTGAAACTGAAGTACACTGTGAAGCTGAAGTACATTGTGAAGCTGAAGTACACTGTGAAGCTGAAGTACATTGTGAAACTGAAGTACACTGTGAAGCTGAAGTACATTGTGAAGCTGAAGTACATTGTGAAACTGAAGTACACTGTGAAGCTGAAGTACATTGTGAAGCTGAAGTACATTGTGAAACTGAAGTACATTGTGAAAGCTGAAGTACATTGATGAAGCTGAAGTACACACTGTGAAGCTGAAAGTACACTGTGAAGCTGAAGTACACTGTGAAGCTGAAGTACAACTGTGAAGCTGAAGTACACTGTGAAAGTACACTGTGAAGCTGAAGTACTGAAAACTGAAAGTACACTGTGAAGCTGAAGTACATTGTGAAGCTGAAGTACACTGTGAAGCTGAAGTACACTGTGAAGCTGAAGTACACTGTGAAGCTGAAGTACACTGTGAAGCTGAAGTACACTGTGAAGCTGAAGTACACTGTGAAGCTGAAGTACACTGTGAAACTGAAGTACATTAGCCATATTACATGTCACAGTTGATTAGACAAAACAGAATTGGAAAGCGAAAGAGCGGCTGGCCAAATAATTAAGAATGCTGGGCTCTCATACACGAAACCAAGGTTTGAATTCTCATTAAGGTCATTGATTTTTTTTTTCTGTCGATGCAAAAATAAAATTATAACCTTCATGATCCTTGGTGACAGCACCAGCCATGCAACCCTAAGTCCTCTAGATCAAAGATCCCACTAACATAACAACTCATGGTTTCTGGATACTTTGAAAAAAAAAATATATATATATATATATATACATTTTTTTTTTTTTTTTTTTTCAAAGTATCAGAAAAACCAGGCTTTGTGTTTTATGTTAACCTTTTGGCTTCGTCACTATGATTAGTCTGCAGAACCTTTTCCGGCACCCCCTGATACACTGATAGGTACTGCGTAAATCTGGGGAAGAACATGGTTTACTTAGTGTTTTCCTCTCCCTTAGTCGCCGGCGGCCGTGTGACAATTAAATTTCGGACCACAAGTAAATGTAGTTATTCATATGTACCAGGTCCCCCGCCCGCCTATGGTTTACTTCAAGGCTATTTAAACCAATTCCTGTAAGTCGAGCAGCCGTGCCATGGTATAGTTTTTGATCATGGTATATAATAATTTAAAATTTTATATTGCCATTTTTTGTAGTGTTTTTTTCACAACTGTGAAGTTTGTTTGGGTGTCTATCCAAATACAAAACTACAAAATTGTTTTGTTCTGTTTTTCCAGCAGTTTTGGAATTGTCCACGTGGTTTCTCCACATACTGTTTAACTGCTAGTTAGCAATGACCTCAGCTATGCATGTCCGTGCATGTTTTCCTTCCCCATTATCTTTATTATCAGCCTAACAGCATTTCTACATCAGACTCATGTCCGTCATGTTAAAAACAAAAATCTCCACCTACTATTAGTTATCTCTTAACAGCATGTATTTCAAGCTATCATGATATATCCCGTGTCATTCATGGGTTTTCTTCCACATACTGTTTATCTCTAACAGCATGCCATTCAGCCTCTCCATGTCGTCATGTTTCTCCACATACTGTTATCTCTCCACACAGCATGCATCAGTCATGTTCTCATGTTTCTCCACATCCATGTACTAGATCATGTTTTCTCATCGCACCTGGCGTCCATGTTTCTCCACATACTGTTATCTCTAACAGCATGTATCAGCTCATGTCGTCATGTTTCTCCACATACTGTTATCTCTAACAGCAAGCATCATGCTCCTATCAGCTCATCATGTCGTCATGTTTGTTATCCTCCACATACTGTTATCGGTATTTAGCACCGCATGTCGTCATGTTTCTCATACTGTTATCTCTAACAGCATGTATCAGCTCATGTCGTCATGTTTCTCCACATACTGTTATCTCTAACAGCATGTATCAGCTCATGTCGTCATGTTTCTCCACATACTGTTATCTCTAACAGCATGTATCAGCTCATGTCGTCATGTTTCCTCCAGCCCTCTATACTGTTAACATCCTCTATCAGCCATGTGCATCATCTCATACTGTTATCTGTCATTTTTTCTCCATGTACATGTTACATACTGTTATCTCTAAGAGCATGCATCAGCTCATGTCGTCATGTTTCTCCACATACTGTTATCTCTAACAGCACGTATCAGCTCATGTGCTGGCATCATGACAAAAACTGCCTAGAAAATACTCTTATTGTCTGTTTCTATCTCTTTTTCCATAAATCCTTCCAGTTGTCACAACATGTTCCTATTTTTTTACACATTGGAGCCACTTTTCACACTATGAAATACTTTGGGTATATGATGCTAGCCCAGTATTTTTTACACCAGTGAGCACTTGTGTGGTCATTATCACACTGACCTCCTTTACTGGTCGAAACATTTCCTGATCACCCAATATTTCTATCAACAGCATGGATCAGCCTGAGAGCCAAGTCTTGTCGTTTCCCCTCTCTTTCAAAAAATCCTTCCACTTGTTCAAGCAGAATCGATCACATATTGGACCTTGCTGGGTCTGTGAACATGCTTGGGTCACAATTCATAACAGTGAGAGAGAGAGAGAGAGTGGGTGTCAGAAGGCTCATGTATTCAATACCACAACACACCAAAATGTAAATCATTTTTAACAGGTATTCCCTGGAATGAAACTTTGGATGGTCAGGCCACGGGCAACTCTTAAGTGCGGTCGTTCGAGGTTTCAAACGAAATGCCCCATTTTTAACGAGAGGAGGTATTGGAAGCCCGGAGAATTTGTTTTTTCATCGATAACCTGAATTTTTGTTTAAATTATTTTTATTTATTACTAGCATTGCCGGCTATGCATTGCTGTGACTCAATGTGGCAAAATGGAAAAGAAAGAAAGAAGAAAGCGGACGTGTCTGATATGGTTAATCCACAATCATTGTCTACGCAGATATACAGAAAGTCTGGTTTGTCAACTCTAGAACACGCAACATATAAGGGCATATAAGTGTATCTTTATATTTATAGTGGTTTAAATTGTTTTATTAAGACTTTAAAAAATGGTTAGATGTTTTTCACCAACTAAAGCTTTTTTTTTCCAACAGCTGAAAGTAAAGTTTACTACTGTACTTCTAAATGGCCAGCAAATTCGCAACAACCCCCAAAAAATGAGAATAGCTGAGCAAGCGTTATTAAAATATAAATAATGAAAAATTAGGACTAAAATAATTTTTTTAGGCTTCCTCAGTTAACATTATCTGTCATCACCACCCTCCCCCCCCCCCTCCTCCCCACCCCCAGTCCACTGACTTCTCCACTCTCCCTCTCTAAAGATTTTAATCATCAACCTGATGATATCTTTTTTTTTTTTTTAAATTTACCCCTTGGCATCTGCTGTCCACCCAGACTAAAACAGGGGTTTTGCAATGAATTGTAATGAGAAGCGAATGTGGGCCAGTGTAATATTTTACCACATAATTTATTATCTCATACAGGTTTCATGCAGATTTCTGAGGTCAAACACAGTCAAAGTTCCCTACAACCCTCGCCGGGAACATGACTCCCCCCCCCCCCCCCCCCCCCCAAAAAAAATTTTGATTGCCCCAGAAAACAAAACCAACAGATGCCGATGTGATCTTCGCTGGAGCTATGTAGTTTGTGCTTTGTGCGACACTTCTATACAAAAAACACTTGTGTATTCAAATGCAACGTTGTGTCAAAATGTAGAACCAGTCAGTGAATAACTCTTGGCATTCAGCTTTATGCAGATTTCTGAGGTCAACAGTCAAAGTTCGCCTACCACTGGAAGTAAAAACCCATGCCGAGAATGCGGCAACGAAACAAAAACCGATGTGATCGTTGCTGATGCTATGTAGTTTGTGCTTTATGCGACACTCTTATATAAAAACACATTGAATCAAAATTTGAAAGCAATCAGTGAAGAACTTTAGGAGATTAGCTATTACTAATAAAGGAACATTTAAATTTTTATTAATGTAGATTTATCATAAAAGACATCCTAGTCTGTACACAGCATGGGGACTGTTTGAACTTGCTGTTTCATAAAATGATATTTTAGAATTTCAGAAGGTTGCATTTAATTAATATCATTTATTGTTTGACAGATCAGATAAAACTGTGACTCCTGTCATTGGTCATAATAGCCAACAAAGTAAAAAAAAATTTTTTTAAAGGAAAGGTCTCTTTTCCACGTCTTTAGGCGTATAGGGCACATAGGGCTAGACCTATATTTTTAAAGACCAATCGGCACAAGATGGGTGATGTAGTCAGCTTCACACCGGCCACCTTTACTTCCCAGGACTGCACCTTGTAACCACTCAAGGCTGGGTCAACCTGGAAGTCAAGGTCTTTTTTTTTAAAAAGTCAGGCTCTGCCAGGGAGCGAACCCACGACCTTCCGATCTGCACGCCAGCTTCTAGCTACTACGCCACGGTGACTCCTAGCCAATAAAGAGTTGAAATGCAAACAGTACCAGTTGCAACCTGCCTGAAAGTCCATCCATCTTTCTCCTTCAGTGTTAAATTTCTTCCTGAACTTCTACTGACTCCCACCCTTCACTGTTAAATTATGTTAGTGTAGAAATACCATATCCATTGTTTGATGTTCTCACTCCAGGTTTGTTTATCTATTTCTCTTCTTTTTGCTTCTCATTACATTTGTTTGAGTCTTTCTCTTGTCTGCTTGCCTTCCTCAAAAAATATCTTCTATGTTTGTTTCCCATGCAGATTTCTTTGTCATTCTCTTCTGTTTGCCTCCCAGAAAACATGACTCTCCTTCTCTTCTCCATTAGACTGCAGTTATACTCTGAAGGGATTTTATGAAAATCTTTTCATGAATACTGACATGTCCAAATTAAGCAAGCAAGCTTTAGGCTTTTCACAGTTATTCTTTTGAGTTTCAGATTCTTATTGTAATGTTAGTATTATCAGTATTTTATTTCTTTGTTCATATTTTCTCCTTATTTTTGCCACTTCTGTTATAGATTGAATATCTTTATTTATTCATTATGATAATCACCTGAGTGTTATTTTCAGGTCCAAATGGCACACCACGACCTATTGAACTCCATTCGCATGATCCTCTGCGATATGTAGGTGATATGTTGGCATGGTTGCATCAGACATCAGCCTCAGAGAAAGAATACCTCCAGTCATTACTGAAAAATTGCTCAGGTGGGCAAAACTTCGTTTCCTGTATTTTATTGTTATTTAAGAATGCATTATTTGTTAATATCATAAAGATCACCATTGTCGTCATCATAATGACCACTAGCTCCACTGTTATCATAACCATCATTAATATAATTATCTTAATGACCATCAGTGTCATCATCATTTAATTAACCATCACTAACATAATTATCTTAATGACCATCAGTGTCATCATCTTTTAAATAACCGTCATTAACATAATTATCTTAATGACCATCAGTGTCATCATTAACATAATTATCTTAATGACCATCAGTGCCATCATAATTTAAATAACCATCCACATCACATGACAACCATCATCATTTTAATTACTATCATCATCAACATCTAAGTAATAATTACAGTGGCCATCATTATTAACACCGCTGTAAAGACCTCCGCTATAAAGACCTCCAGTAAAGACTATCACTATCATTACAATTACCTTTATCATTATCAAAATTATGACTCTTACAACCATCATTACAATAACCTTCATCATCATCCATGCTATCATCCTCAACAGCATCAAAATGATCATCATCATTATTGTTTTTCATTTTTTTGAAAAGAGTCCCTGAAGTAGTTACTACTGCCTTGCATTCTGAAGATTGTGATCGGTTTAGGAATGTTTGGTTTAGCTCTAATCACTGGAGCTATGGAGTTTGTACATTTGTGATGCTCTTTGGCATGATCTTCCACTCAGAGACACTGAGCCATGTGGGATAAAACTTGGTGCAGTGAAGTTATTTTGTTTTCCTATAAGACAGTGGAGCAGGCAGTACATCTGATTTATTGAGGTAGCAAGTCTTAAGCATTTAAAGTGCTTCTGCAGTGATGGTGTCTGGGCAAAGATCAGTACACTGAAGCTGGAGATCATAATGTAAAGGTATGTTAAATGAAAGAGAATAGGGGCTTTTGAGCTGAAATGCTATAGACAGATTCTTAGAATATCTTGGACAAAGAAGAGGAGAAATGCTGACATCTTGAAAGATTTGAACATCAAGGAAGATTGGCTAATAAACAGCATCCTGTCTCGGAAGATGAAATATTCTGGTCATATCAAGCACCATGACGGATTAGAAAAAAATAGTAACAGAAGGCATGGTATCAGGAAAGAGGGATAGGGGCCGACCAACACAAAGATGGGCACAGGATATAAGCGACTCCTTGAGTATCAAAGTATATGAGGCTGGAGAGCTGGCGAGAGACAGAGTTTCTTTCAGGCAGATCGTGATGAGAGCGACGTTCTGCAAAGGACCTGCCACATGATGATGATGATGATGTAATAGTTTCAACTCTTCCGCATTTACATGAACTAGGTATGTGCATCATCTTTCCTCTATCATATTGGAAGGTAGAAGAACAGATATCAAAATCTTGTCAATGTTTTTGTTCTGGGGTCCACTCACTTTTTCTTTCACATATGCACATGTTAACATCATGCACACACATGCATAAATACTTTCTTGAACTTTCCTCTCATTGTCTCTTTTTTCTCTTTCTCCCCCCCCTCTCTCTCTCTCTCTCTCTCTCTCTCTCTCTCTCTCTCTCTCTCTCTCTCTCTCTCTCTCTCTCTCTCTCTCTCTCTCTCTCTCTCTTTCTCTAAGCCTTGATACTAAAGGCAATCTTCTTCATTCACCCTCAGAAAGATGTTTGGCATGCAGTGTTGTTGTTTACAGTGATATCTGGCTAAAGTCAAAAGTTTGTTTAGCTTGTGGGAGAGTGTGTGGCTGCCTTATTCAAAATGGCATCAAGATTGGCATTGTGCTCTGATAAAAGGATCTTATAATTTCAGCTACCAGTTTTCAAATGGATGAGGTGCTCGGACATATTACCGAAGGTGTTTGTACTCCATTTAAGGTATTTCCTGATTTGTAAAATATGTTGCGCTATATTATAACATGTTTTCTATATTGTTGATTTATCTTCATCTTCTGACTTTTATCCCTCAGATGGAGCAAATTACTCCGCCACCTCATGGCTAAACCCTCCTTCCCTCCTTTATTTTGCTGTCTTTTTCAGCTCCATCTGTATCCTCACCTTAATATTAATCTGTCGCTTTTATCCTCGTCTCGAAGTTCTTTTGCCCTAAAGACTCCATAGAATTGTCTTCCACCATAATGGTCTTCAAATGAAAAACTTTAAAGTGTGATAGAAATTACAATAATCATGCCATTGTCTTGTAACTTTTCAGTATTGTTGTTAGGGATGTCAGGAGTGTGAAACACCTGACATCATAGCGCAGAGGAAAACTGTGCTGTCACAATGATAGTTTAAAGATGGCCACCCCACTTTTGACATGTACCAAAGACGAGCAGCGTTCTGTTATCCATAAAAAAAAAAAAAAGTGGTGAAACCTTTAGAAATTAACTAGTGAATGAAGCTCCATTACAGTGTTGCATGCCAGTGTTAGTCTAGCAAGTGTATGAGTAGAGTAGGAAATTTCAAAACAGTTTAACTTCCATGACAGACTTTATGACTGGGTCAGGCACACTGAGTAGTGACTCCAGAATTGATTGCAACTGTTGGAGGCCACACAAGGAAAACTACAGATTGCTGGACTGAATGTGTTTGAAATTATTCAGTGTGGGATTTCCATCATTAACCTTGGCTTGCAGGTTACCTAGTCTAAATTGCGTACCAGAAAATTGCCAGGGAACTAAAGTTAGTGGAAATTAAAACTAGTGCCAAACTTCAAATGTTTAACTCTAATGTCAAATCAGTATGGAGCTGAAATATAGAGAAATAGTGAAATAACTACTAATAAGTTCCAAACATTCATTAATTGGTGACTGCACAGAATAGAGGGAATTAAATGATGTGTTAAAATCACTGACACTGAGCTTTGAAAAAGACCTAAACAAATTCTAGACAAAATCACAAGATGAAGAAAAGACATTCTCATTTGATAGGACATGCCCTAGCTCAGATACTGATATCTATGTGTGGTGCCACGTGGCACAAAGGAAAGATACATAAAGGAAAGATACATAATTATGTAAAACTCTAACTATCTTTTTTTGTATTCTCACCTTTTTGCCCAGTACATCTAATTAAGCACACCTGTAATTAGTTGTCTTTTTTACTTGCTCGTTAGTGTAGTCTACCCCCCCCCCCCCAACCTCCATAAAGGGGCCTCAGAACCCACACTTAACATATAAATATGTCAATTTTTTAAAGGTACGTGTGGAGCAAGTCCTGAACCCACACAGGGAATACTTAACATATAACTATGTCAATTGTTTTAAAAGTACGTGTGGAGCAAGTCTTGAACCCACACAGAAAATGCTTAACATATAAATATGTCAATTTTTTAAAGGTACGTGTAGAGCAAGTCCTGAACCCACACAGGTAATACTTAACATACAAATATGTCAATTTTTAAAGGTACGTTTGGAGCAAGTCTTGAACCCACACAGAGAATACTTAACATATAATTATGTCAATTTTTTTTAAAGGTACGTGTGGAGCAAGTCCTGGTGTCAGAACAAGATCCTGTGATCTTATACAAGCTTGATAACTTGCTCAAGTTTTACCATCATACAATCAGGTAATTATTCAAACATGCCACAGAATTGCCCACATCAGAAAGAGACAAACTATATTCTTTGATCATGTGATGAAAAGGAGAAAACTGGAGTTTATCATGACAGTAGGAAAGTTGGAGGGGAGGAGAGGCAGAGGGAGATCTGGGAAAAGATGCTGGACAGCTTGACCTGATGGCATGAAGGATCATCTGTGTCACAGCTGATTGAAAGTACATGAGACAGAAGATTGTGAATATCTATGACTACCAACGCCACACGGCATGGACTTTAGGAAGATAAAGACGTCACAGTATTAGTAATCATAATATTATAGGAAACATCAGTACTGTTAATTGATTATTCTTTATCTTTTGACACTTATTACAAAATTCAACTGCTCCTATATACTAAAAGAAGAAATAGAATCTAGAATACAATCTGGATACAAAGTAACCAACCCTACACGATCTGCTAAAATCAAAAGCTCCATCTCATCACACCAAGATCACAATTTATAAAATGCAAACCCGCTTGTCATATGTGGCTCTGAAACCTGAAATACAGCTAAAAAAGATGTAGTCTTAATATAACATTTTGAGAATGAACGAACGTACGAACAAACTTTATTTTCAAAGGGTTACAAATTAGGCACGCAGGCCTGTCTTACATTCGGCCCTTCCAAACTTCCATCTTTCACACAGCAGTTGTATTTCATCAATGAAGCATGTTATATTCATGTAATGATATGCATATTATGGATATGAAGTCAAAAACAAAAGCATGGGTGGTAAAATATGTGCGCACGCTCACGCGCGAACACACACACCCACATACACACACAAGCCCAATCACTCACACACAAACACATAGGCACCCAGTACACACATACATCCACATACACACAAACATGCACACACACATACATACATACATACATACATACATACATACATACATACATACATACATACATACATACACACACACATACATACTTATGTACATACATACATACATACAAACTCACATATATACATACATACATACAAAAATACATACATACATACATATATACATACACACACATACACACGCTCTAAACACACACGCATACAACCCAGACACATACACACACACATGCAGTCACGGGCACACACAAACACATACACACACAAAAGCAGAGAAATAGACACACACATAGACATACGCAACACCCACACATACACAGATATACACACACAGACAAGCACAGTCACACAGACATACACGCAGACACATAACCTGACACAAGCAGAGACACACAGACATTATATAATAGACACACAAGAAATTGAGAAACTATAAAATAAATGGAAAAATGTACAATTGGATTAAAGCATATCTACATAACAGAAGAGCCCGGGTACAGGTAGATGGTTTCAAAAGTAAAAAAGTTCTACTGCGACAAGGCGTCCTTCAAGGTGGTGTCCTGTCGCCCACACTTTTCCTTTTATTTATCAACGATCTGGTTGCTGAGATACCAAATGGAATCAAAATGGCAATGTATGCCGACGACCTGGTACTGTGGTGCACCAATGAACATGCAACGATAGCCACAAAAACACTACAGCGGGCTACAAATGCACTTGAGGCATGGGCCAATAGATGGTGTGTCAGTATCAACACAGACAAATGTAGCACCACACTATTCACCCTCTCCCCAAAGCAAAAAGCCGGCACCATCAAAATAAACGAAATACCCCTGAGAGATGATAAAGAGCCCACATACCTAGGAGTCACATTTGATGACAGGTTGACATGGAGAAAACATATCAACAAGGCAGCAACCAAAGCCAGGAGGAAGACAGCAATACTAAGAAAACTAAGTGGAACCACGTGGGGAGCAGATGGGAAAATACTCAATAAAGTATACAAGCAGAGCATACTTCCACACTTGGAATATGGGTCAACTGCATGGTGTTCAGCATCTAGTACCACATTAAAGGAGTTAGACAAAGTGCAAAATCAAGCGCTCAGAGTCATCACAGGAGGGATGAAATCAACCCCCATATTAGAAATGGAGAAAGCTGGGAAAACACAGGCACTGAGAGAACGCAGAGATACAAAGTTGCAAATACAAGCTGAAAAGTTCCTCAGTATGCCAGATCACCCGATGGAAAATAGATTTAAGAACCTAGCCTTGGGACGGTTAAAAAGAAGCAGCTTTATACACCAAGCAAAAAGAATATGTAGACAAACTCCTGACCTTCCAGAAATTGGCTGCCCACTTAAAAGTATTCCGGAACAAACCCCATGGAGAGAAAAATGTAAACTAACGGTACAAATCCAGACAAATGTGAAAGGGATATTTGACAAGAAAGAGCAAGATAGTGTACAACGCAAAATGGCCACCCTCAGTTATATTGATGAAGAATACCCACAAGAACAATGGGTCAGAGTCTATACAGATGGGTCCGCAGAAAGTGCAGTTAGAAATGGTGGTGCTGGAGTGTACATCGAATTCCCAGATGGTACTAGGGATAAGTCCAGCGTACCAACCGGGAAGTACTGCCATAACTACGATGCAGAAACCCAGGCTATTAAGATAGCTACAGAGAAACTGCTAAATACCAACCTTGGCTCACAGTATGTGGTAATGCTTACAGATGCTAAATCAGTACTTGAAGCACTCCAGTATAGGAAACTACCAGAATTGCAAACACTGCTGACACAACTCAGCGTTCAGCGAAAAGTCGTAATGCAGTGGATACCGTCTCATTGTGGAGTGCCTGGAAATGAGAAAGCTGATCAACTGGCAGGGGAAGGTGCGACAAAAGAGCAGCCAGATGTACCAGTCACATACCACCAAAAGAAAAGAATCATTAAATCGATCAGGAAACCACCAGCCCCAGCACAAGACGACTATTTTATTATGGACAGACCAGAACAAGTCATTATCTTCCGCCTCAGAACAGGGCACAACCGATTACGTAACCACATGTACACAAAATTCAAGATAGGTGTATCAGCCATGTGCACCTGTGGAAATGTGCCCCAGACCGCAGAGCATGTACTCCAGGACTGCACCGATTTTGACACATTAAGGCAAACCTTTTGGCCAGAAAGAACAACAGTGGAACGTAAACTCTATGGACCACTGAATGAACTAACAACGACAGTGAAATTTATACAAGAGACAAAACTGCTGATATAGATAACTTATTTCAGGCGAACGAAAGAAGAAGAAGAATAGACACACCGATAGAGACTCACACAGATACACACAAAGCCACGCACAGCCACAGACAGACATAGATGACATGCAGCCATACACACCTACAGACACATAATGGCACACACACACACACTGACACACAGAGACATACACAAACACATACTAACACACCCACAGACGCACAAATACTCGCACAGACATACACATGCAGATGCACACACACACACACACATTATCAAAAGAGAGGGGGATCTAGTGACTATCTTTGGATCCATCATATGTGCTTACAGAGGAGAATGGAGAGTGAGAAGCAACAATGAAATTCACCATGTTTTTAAATCACCACTACTCATAAGAACTAATAGACTGCAATGATTGGAGCATATAAATAGAATGGCAGAAAACAGAGTTAAAAACTGCATGACTAAAATAGTGGAAGAAGACCCCGAGGCAGACCAAGAAGATGGTGGATAGTTATTATACAGACAGACCCACAAACTCCTCTGTGGTTTCTGGGCCCCATTGTAAGGGGAAAACAAGACTAGGCCCACTGCCTTCCCAACAAGCATGCCGTGCAATAGGAGTCGACTAATTGGGGGGCTTCCTTCGAAGTCGGAGTACATCTGCCTGAGAGGCAAGTAATCAACAATCTGCATACAGTTAAGTAAGATCTGTAAAATGGATGTGCATGCAACACTCAGATTCTGGAACAAGACTAAAGTCCAGAGGTGGACAAACAACTAGAACTTTCTGCCGGAGTTTACAGCCTGTGAACGTGAAGATGAAGAAGAAGACCTACAAACACTTAGAGTAACCAGCTGAAAAGAGAAGGCTAATTAGATAGATGGAGGCAGGTGATATTTGCAGCAATGAACCTTAGGGGTTCACAATACTGAAGAAGAAGAACATTACCCTGGAAAACAGCTGCATAGAAAGGCGTATGACTGTTTGTGCTACTGTAGACGAGAGAGGATTTGGCATGATGTTTATTGCTAAAATGCATGTGACAGCTGCGGTAGATTTCTCAACAAAGGTAATTCTGAAACAGTAGCTTCAGTGTATCATGTTTATTATTTGCAGAGAAACATGCAGCAGCTAATTTAGTATATGCTGTTTCTCAGCAGAGACTTTTGTGCAACAGTAGCTTCAGTATGTCATATATTTGTATGTGTTTTTCAACAAAAACCTCAGTATATGATATGAAGCCTCCGTAAATGATGATTCACTTGCCTCAGCATATGATATTTCTCAGCAAATTTTCCTTTAACAACTTCCTTCACAAATATTTCTAATCTTTGGGCTGTCAAATCATCCCTGGCACTGCCCTCACAGTTACTGTGGCTGCTCACAAAACTTCATTAGTAGTTAACATTTTGAAACAAAGGCATTCATCTAACTGTTTCTTGAGTAAATTCTTTGTCATCTGTTTGTAGCCAGATTATCATCCCTGACGCTGCCCTCATGGTTACTGTGGCTGAGATTCAGGACCTGAGTCATCGCATGTTTTTCAACAGCCTTACCGGTCATGCCAACAAATTGTTGGATAAGGTATGCTTCAGATACAGTTATACTTCTGTTTGTTGGCATAGTAAAGAATGGCACAAAATTAGAATACTTGTTCTTCTTTGCATTCACTAGCTTTTAACTCTGGCGAAAGTTCTGATTGTTCATCCAACTGTTGGACCTTGGTCTTATTCCAGAGCTTGACCTTTTGCATGCACATCTATTTTACAGATTTGACATATTTGAATGCAGACTGTTGGTTCATCTCATGTCAATGCACTCCGACTTCAAAGGAAACATCCCTAATTACTTGCCTTTTACGACTTGCTTGTTAATTAGGACAGTGGGTCTACTCTGTTTCCTCCAAAATGGGGCTTCGGAACTTACACGGATATAATTAAAATACTGATCTTATTTAAGGGGATAAGGGTTCAGATCTCTGGTAAAACAACAGCCATTAGAATACCTTCTGAAATCTGGGTGAAAGCTTAGAAGGACCTTTATAATGTTCTAGTTGTTAAAGTCTTTTTTAGAAGTGAGTAATTGTAAATTGTACGTGTGACTGCTTCTTCTTTGTTCATCTAATGTTTGTTTTAAATTATTTTGCATTTTGCTTGTTTACAGCAGACTGGGAAATTCATGTCTTTCTGTTGACAAATCCAACATAGAGATCTTTCACCTGCAGTTATCAGGATGACCAAAGGCTTTACACGTGGACTTGCTTCAGACTAGTCCCATTGACTTTACTTGTGCATTCTGGTGAAAATTTCTTATTCGTATTTACCATTGCAATGGAACAAGAATAAAATGCAGTCAAAAACAGATGCCTGAGGAAACTGATGACATAACATGGGAGGAATTCAAGAAACAGGGAAATGTCTGGGCAGCCACTGGTGTCTAGAGTTAGAGGAAACAAAAAAGATGGCACTATTTTGGCAACATGCTGAAAAGAAGCTAGCACGGAATCACTAAACAAGTGCTGATGTGGAAAACAGTTGAATTGAGAAAAAGTGTATGTTCAAGAGAACCCTTAAATGAACGCTGATAATGCACAGGAGAGAATGGAATGAAGGAATAGACTGAAAGTCCTATGTTACATTAAAGGGCTATTCCAAAATCAGATCTGATTGACTGATGAAAAGAAACCATAAGCCATAGCAACACTGTTCATAGCTTGCTTCATTCAGTAGTTTTTTAAAACTCACCACATATCAATCTACAGTGTGTGTGTGTTTTTTTTTCTTTCTGTGGTTCACGAATAGGGAATGAATTAGGTCAATGTGTAGTGAGCTAAAAGGCTACTGAAGGATGCAAGCAATGATCAGTGTTGCTGTGGCAAGCGTTTTATTTTTTCCAACCAAAAGGAGGTTGATTTTGGAATAGCCCTCATATGATGGCTTAAAAGGATGATGATGATGATGAATGACCATTTTAAATAAATTAAATCAAGGACACTTTCCATGGCAGTAGTGCATAAGACTTATCTTCTTCTTCTTCTTCGCGTTCACCAGCTGTACACTCTGGTGTAAAGTTCTGGTTGTTCGTCCACTTCTGGACTGCAGTCCTGTTCCAGAACCTGAGTGTTGCGTGTGCATCAGTTTTAAGAGGCCTTGGACTAGCAGATCTGATTCAATTGAATGCAGACTGCTGGTTCCTTGCCTCTCAGGCAGATGCACTCCGACTTCAAAGGAAGCTCCCCAGTTAGTCGACTCTTACGACATGCTTTTGGGGAGGCAGTGGGTCTATTCTTGTTTTCCCCACAATAGGGCCCCGGAACCCACACGGGGGCATAAGACTTATGTTTTTAAAGACCAGACGGCACTGGGTATAGGATGTGGTAACCAGGACATTTTCTGGTACCCATTTTAGACTGGATCGACCTGGAAGCCAAGGTCAGTTATACAGATCTGGCCTGGTAGGGATTCAAACCCTAGACCTTGGACTGGCAGGCAGGTATAAAGTCACTGCGTACCACTGCTCCTATAGTTACTATTACTTGTGTTTTTACTGTTCAAACTTTCTATTGCAGTTATGTCAATCATTCAATTTTCAGCCACCGAAATACTGAAATAAGTCAGTATGTTTAAGTACTTAGGTACCCTGATATTAGGAGATGGAAAATGTATTCTTCTTCTACTTCTTCTTCACTTCCTCTTTTCCCCCGTGTGGTTTCCGGGGCCCCATTGTGGGGAAAACAAGAATAGACCCACTGCCTCCCCAAAAGCATGTCGTAAGAGTCGACTAATTGGGGAGCTTCCTTTGAAGTCGGAGTGCATCTGCCGGAGAGGCAAGGAACCAACAGTCTGTATTCAAGAGAATGAGATCTGTAAAACTGATGCACACGCAACACTCAGCTTCTGGAGCAGGACTGCAGTTCAGTAGTGGACGAGCAACCAGAACCTTCCACCAGAGTTTACAGCTGGTGAACACGAAGAAGAAGAAGAAGACTTCCTCTTTTGTTGTGTGCGAACTTGGCTGTTAAAATGTGTGCTAACTGGGCAGTTGGAATGTGTGCTAACTTGGCTGTTAGAATGTGTGCTAACTGGGATATTGGAATGTGTGCTAACTTGGCTGTTAGAATGTGTACTAACTTGGCTGTTAGAATATGTGCTAACTGGGTAGTTGGAATGTGTGCTAACTTGGCTGTTAGAATGTGTGCTAACTTGGCTGTTAGAATATGTGCTAACTTGGCTGTTAGAATGTGTGCTAACTTGGCTGTTAGAATATGTGCTAACTTGGCTGTTAGAATGTGTGCTAACTTGGCTGTTAGAATGTGTGCTAACTTGGCTGTTAGAATGTGTGCTAACTTGGCTGTTAGAATGTGTGCTAACTTGGCTATTAGAATGTGTGCTAACTTGGCTATTAGAATGTGTGCTAACTTGGCTGTTAGAATGTGTGCTAACTTGGCTATTAGAATGTGTGCTAACTTGGCTGTTAAGATGTGTGATAACTGAGCTATTAGAATGCACATATGCTAGAGGGCAGAGAGAGTGACAGTGTACATGAATATTTCTGATATAAGTGACCGAAGGGAGCATGGATACTTGGGCAACTAAAAGAGTGTGGATGTTGTGTTTTGTGAAATGTACTGATTCCACAGGCATTGCCAGAGCCACGTAAAAATGACCACTGGGAAACAAATCCCCCAGTCTTCTGATTCAGTAGCCTTTAGTCAGTGAAAGAGTTTGGATGCATTTTTGTGTTGTGTGAATTGTCAGCATGAATTCGGTGAATTAGAAAGTTGAGTTCTAAATACTGTCAGTGTAGATATTCATCAGAGGGCAGAGTGAGTGTTGGCTTATGTGTGGTGGAGTCAGCACTAGGGCATCTATGTGTCATGCTGGTTGACTGTGGTAATTGTAAGTTGACCAGTGTGAAGCGGTGATGGGGAGATGTACCGGAACTACTCTCAGGTGTGATAAGGTTTGAGACGTTGTTCTGTATTTTATTTACCAATTTGGTGCGACTGCCTTGAGTCTTCAGATTGTAGGGTCTTTTGGATAGAGATTTATCAGAGGGCGGTCACGGCCATCGGTGAAAGATATATACTGCTCGATCGGGTAGGAGGTGCCGATAGCAGCCATCTGGACACAGAGTGCAAGGGGTGTATTATTGTTCTGTCCAGTTGTGGAGACTGGGGAGAAATGTTTGAGCTTTGTGCCAGTATAGTTGCTAGCAGAGCATACTTGAATTGTACTTGTGTCTTCAGGTGCGAACTTTGTAAGTTACAGTCTTCAAGTTATGGAGACTGGAAACTGTTTGGACTTTGTGCTGGTGGTTACTGAGCAAGAGATCCATTTTATTACTTGGCTAGGTATTAGAATGTTCTGTTAACTGGCTGTGCAGGTAGTTGCTGGTGTTCTGTGCTAGACTTAACTAGTGCAGATAGTTTGCTGGTGTTCTCACTAGAACTTGTGCAGAATGTGTGCTAACTGGTGTTCTCATAGACTTAACTGGGCATTAGTTATGCTGGTGTGGGCACTAGACTTGTGCTAGTGCAGAAGTTGCTGGTGTTCTCACTAGACTTAACTAGTGCAGATAGTTGCTGGTGTTCTCACTAGTCGACTTAACTAGTGCAGATAGTTGCTGTGTTCTCACTAGACTTAACTAGTGCAGATAGTTGCTGGTTGTTCTCACTACTGACTAACTAGTGCAGATAGTTGCTGGTGTTCTCACTAGACTTAACTAGTGCAGATAGTTGCTGGTGTTCTCACTAGACTTAACTAGTGCAGATAGTTGCTGGTGTTCTCACTAGACTTAACTAGTGCAGATAGTTGCTGGTGTTCTCACTCGACTTAACTAGTGCAGATAGTTGCTGGTGTTCTCACTAGACTTAACTAGTGCAGATAGTTGCTGGTGTTCTCACTAGACTTAACCAGTGCAGATAGTTGCTGGGGAGGTGTACCTCACTAGACTTAACTAGTGCAGATAGTTGCTGGTGTTCTGTACTAGATTCACCAATTAGTTGCTGGTGTTCTCACTAGACTTAAGATAGTGCAGTTTTGTTGCTGGTGTTCTCACTCACGACTTAAAGATAGTGCAGATAGTTGCTGGTGTTCTCACTAGACTTAACTAGTGCAGATAGTTGCTGGTGTTCTCAGTAGACTTAATGGGAGTGCAGATAGTTGCTGGTGTTCTAGCTAGACTTAACTAGTGCAGATAGTTGCTGGTGTTACTCACAAGTAGACTTAAACTAGTGCAGATAGTGCTGGTGTTACTCACTAGACTTATCTAGTGCAGATAGTTGCTGGTGTTGTCACTAGACTTATCTAGTGCAGGTAGTTGCTGGTGTTCTCACTAGACTTATCTAGTGCAGATAGTTGCTGGTGTTGTCACTAGACTTATCTAGTGCAGATAGTTGCTGGTGTTCTCACTAGACTTATCTAGTGCAGATAGTTGCTGGTGTTCTCACTAGACTTATCTAGTGCAGATAGTTGCTGGTGTTCTCACTAGACTTATCTAGTGCAGATAGTTGCTGGTGTTCTCACTAGACTTATCTAGTGCAGATAGTTGCTGGTGTTCTCACTAGACTTAACTAGTGCAGATAGTTGCTGGTGTTCTCACTAGACTTAACTAGTGCAGATAGTTGCTGGTGTTCTCACTAGACTTATCTAGTGCAGATAGTTGCTGGTGTTCTCACTAGACTTAACTAGTGCAGATAGTTGCTGGTGTTCTCAATAGACTTAACCAGTGCAGATAGTTGCTGGTGTTGTCACTAGACTTAACCAGTGCAGATAGTTGCTGGTGTTGTCACTAGACTTAACCAGTGCAGATAGTTGCTGGTGTTGTCACTAGACTTATCTAGTGCAGATAGTTGCTGGTGTTCTCACTAGACTTATCTAGTGCAGATAGTTGCTGGTGTTCTCACTAGACTTAACTAGAGCAGATAGTTGCTGGTGTTCAAGTTGATTGGTTTGTCCCCTCCTGATTGCTACCTTACCATCGTGAGATTTTTCAAACCCCCAGCTGGGCCACAAACCAACAAGGCAGATCCCAGATACCTTATTCAGCCAGCCTATAAAGAAGTTATAATTAGAGCACCCATAACAACTACACCAGCTAGGTCCAACCTTTACTCCTGTATGGATCAAGACTTAAAAGATCAAAACCATGTGCAGCTGAAATATTCTGTAGTGCAAATTTTTCTTCATGAGTTGTATTGAGTCAAGAATGGACATCACAGCACTCGAGGCATTCCCATGCATGCTCTGTCCTCATCTTCAGCAGCCTGCGCAGAGTTCCATTACTGATGGTACTGGTCACAATCTGGTTAAATGTCGGTCTTTTTCTTCATGTACAGGTAGAACTGCCCCCATCTGATCTCGGAGCAACGGCCTCACTGACACAGACTCTGCAGCTGCTGCGAGACGTTCTGGCTTGTCATGATGCATCTGTCGTCCCAGTTGATGACAAGAGACAGGATTATAAGCAGGTAATGAATGCGCCCTTGCAGGTGGACTGAGCCTTAAATGGGAGGTCAAGATGGCCAACATGATGTTGACTAAATCACCCATTGAATGCACATTGCGCTATCAAAATATAATGCTTACATTATGTACAGTGTGTGCTGAAGACATGAAAATGGGGCCTTTACTTGCTAATGAATGAGGCCACCAATGTATTGCCAAGAGACCATAAAGGAAGCAAAGAATAGTACCACTTTAACCTACTTAGCCTCTCATAAGAAATTTTATTTTTCTTCTTCACACTGACTGGCCGTAAATTCTGACAGAAAGTTCTGGTCGTTCGTCCACCTTCGGACTTTAGTCTTATTCCAGAAGCTGAGTGTTGCATGCACATCCGTTTCACAGATCTGACTTATTTTTATGCAGACTCTTGGTTCCCTGCCTCTCAGGCAGATGTTATCAAACTTCGAAGGATGCCCTCAATTAGTTCAACTGTGAAGACATGAGTTTTGGGGAGGCAGTAGGTCTGTTCTTGTCTTCCCCACAATTGGACCCTGGAACCCATGCCTTTTACACCATGTTTCTTATAGAGCAGTGTGTCCATTACCCCCTACCCCCCACCCCTAGCCTCCAAAAAAGAATGGGGCATCAGAAGCCACACATGGAGACTTAAAAACTGTCACTACTGTCTGTTTTACCACTTTTTGAGGCGGTGTAGTCAGGGGGCCTTGAGCCTGAGGATTTAGGGCCTCCTGGCTGGTGCTATCGCCACGGACTGTGCAGGTTAGGATGTTTAATTTTTCCAGTAACAGAGAAACTCCATGACCTTACCGGGAATCGAACTCGGGTCTCCTGCATGAGAGCCCGGCTTTGAGACCTCTAGACCAGCTGCACATGGAGACTCAACATGTCTGAAATGGCTTGTTTCAGATCCTGGCCTGTGTGATTGACCCGCTGCTCCAGATGTGCTCCATGTCAGCAAGTCGGCTGAGTGCTGTAGACATGGCCGCCTACATGGTCAACTGCATCCACATGATGAACTCAACCCTGGCTTTGTACGAGTTCACAGACACTCGGCTGGAGATGCTCAATGCCCAGGTAAATAACGGTAGAAGTGTAATTACTGCTGGGTAAAATAACAGTAAAAGTGTAATTACTGCTGGGTAAATAACAGTAGAAGTGTAATTACTGCTGGGTAAATAACGGTAGAAGTGTAATTACTGTTGGGTAAAATAACAGTAGAAGTGTAATTACTGCTGGGTAAAATAACAGTAGAAGTGTAATTACTGCTGGGTAATTAACAGTAGAAGTGTAATTACTGCTAGGTAAATAACGGTAGAAGTGTAATTACTGCTGGGTAAATAACAGTAGAAGTGTAATTACTGCTGGGTAAAATAACAGTAGAAGTGTAATTACTGCTGGGTAAATAACGGTAGAAGTGTAATTACTGTTGGGTAAAATATCAGTAGAAGTGTAATTACTGCTCGGTAAATAACAGTAGAAGTATAATTACTGCTCGGTAAATAACAGTAGAAGTGTAATTACTGCTGGGTAAATAACAGTAGAAGTGTAATTACTGCTGGGTAAATAACAGTAGAAGTGTAATTACTGCTGGGTAAATAACAGTAAAAGTGTAATTACTGCTGGGTAAATAACAGTAGAAGTGTAATTACTGCTGGGTAAATAACGGTAGAAGTGTAATTACTGCTGGGTAAATAACGGTAGAAGTGTAATTACTGCTGGGTAAATAACGGTAAAAATTACTGCTGGGTAAATAACGGTAGAAGTGTAATTACTGCTGGGTAAATAACAGTAGAAGTGTAATTACTGCTGGGTAAATAACAGTAGAAGTGTAATTACTGCTGGGTAAATAACGGTAGAAGTGTAATTACTGCTGGGTAAATAACAGTAGAAGTGTAATTACTGCTGGGTAAATAACAGCAGAAGCGTAATTACTGCTGGGTAAAAAAACAGTAGAAGTGTAATTACTGCTGGGTAAATAACAGTAGAGTGTAATTACTGCTGGGTAAAATAAAAGTAGAAGTGTAATTACTGTTGGGTAAAATAAAAGTAGAAGTGTAATTACTGCTGGGTAAATAACAGTAGAGTGTAATTACTGCTGGGTAAAATAACAGTAGCAGTGTAATTACTGCTGCAGAATTCAGTATTTGAAAATAATTTCTTTTTTTTTCTCCTTCTCCTTGTCCTCCATCTTCTCTCCCCCTCCTCCACCTTCTGCTTTTTCTTTATCTTCCCTCCCTCTTCTTTCTCCCTATCCTTCTCCACTCATCTTTCTTCTTCTTTTTCTGCATTCACCCTCAAAAGGACAGTGGGCATGTTGTGTTGTGACTTATACCTAAGGCTGTGATATTTGTACCTTTTGGCCCAGCAAATCTGATTTCAGCAAACCTCTAACTAGTTGCCTTCTATGATGTGTTTGTTGGGGGTAATCGAGTCTTTTCTTTTTTTGCAGTCATTTTATTTCATGTCGCCTAGGGAAAGCCCATTTTACTACTTTTACAGGTTTTTGATAACATGACGTTTTTTTGGCAGTGGCCAGTATGTTTGTTTAACAATTTTAGTACTGGTTGTAAACAGTGACTACATTTTAAATTGCAGAGATATTGTTTGGGATGAAGAAATAATTTTATTTTTGACATTATGATGTCATTAACGATTACATCAGTTTGCTCTCTGTGGCTGAGTCAACAAAAGAGTCAAAGGGATGAAGTGTAGATCTGGTTTATTTGTATGCCTGACTACTGTTTCCTCTGTGTGTATGTGTGTATGCATGTTTGTTTGTATGTATGTGTGTATGTATGTATGCCTGTATGTGTGTATGTATGCAATGTATGCATGTATGTGTGTGTAAGTGAGTGGGTGAGCGTGTGTATGTGGGTGTGTGTATGCACGCGCGGGTTTTTGCATGCACTTTACAACTCATGCTTTTGTGTTCTTTTATAATATTCATAATATGCATATCATCATATGATCATAACATGCTTTATTAGTAAAATACAATTGCTGTGTGAAAGATGGTTGACTGGAAGGGCCCAATGTAAGACGGGCCTGCGTGCCCAATTTGTGACCCTTTGAAAATAAAGTTCGTTCGTTCGTTCGTTCTAGAAGTGGATGAACAACCAGAACTTTCTGCCAGAGGTTAAACCTGGTGAATGCGAAGAAGACGAAGACTATAGATTACAGGGTTGTTATTCTTTGCTTGCCTTATGGGACCCTGACAACCAATGGGCAAATCTTAATAAGCATGTGTAATTTTAAGGGGCCTGCCATAGTATAATGGCTAGATGCTCACCTGCTGATTAGAAGGTCGTGGCTTCGGGTCCTGGTGATGCCCGACTTTTTCCCAAAATGACATTGGCTTCCAGGTCGACTCAGCCTTGAATGGGTACTAGGTATAGTCATGGAAAGTAAAGGCAGCCGGCATGATGTTGACCATAGTCCTGGAAAGTAAAGACGGCCGGCGTGATGTTGATCACAAAACCCACCAAGTGCTGACTGGTCTATAAAATATAGTTCTAGCCCTATATGCCCAGTACGCCTGAAGACAGGGAAAAGGGTTTTTTACTTTACTTTTACTTGTAATTTGCCAGACGGATGCCCATGTGGACACTTTGGTCAGTGAACAAGCTACCTATATCCTCAACCGTGTTGGTCTGGCACAGATGTATGGAATTCTGCAGCAACATCGGATCGACCATGTAAGTACAAAACTGGCTGGCTCCCATCTTGCCCCAGTCAAGTTTGCCAGTTGTCATCACGTCTTCGAGTTGTTTGCCAGTTGTTGCTTAGTTTTCATATTTATTCCTTCCTCTTGTTTGCCATTGTTACCAAGTTGTTTTGAGTCTCCCCACAAAATCTTGACTATCTACATTCTAATGTCTGTAAACAGTTTTCAGTTTATTTACATTTGTCTGTCAGCTTGCGATATTCTTTCAAATCATGGTATACCTGAAGAAGTGTTCTCAAGTTGTTTGTTTGCCCATTGTTACCAAGTTTTTGAGCTTATTCTTTACACTTTTTTGCCAGTTGTCACCATTATTTTGAGTTTATTTTTTCAAGTTGTTACCAAGTTTTCAAGTTCCAGATGTTTGTCAGTCGTCACCCCATTTTTTTTTCAGTTCATTCTTCACTCCAGTTGTTTGCCAGTAGTCACCAAGTTTTTAAGTTTTATGCTTTTCAATTGTTTTCAAGTTTTTGAGTTTATTCATTCTCATAACATGTCCAAAGTGTCAGGACTGTCACATTTAATTTCTTTAATCAGCTTTTCAGATTATACCCGTTTTTTCTGTTAGACTTATTTTTCCAATCACGGTATCTGGAGAAGGTAGTTTGCCATTGCTTTCCTCTGTGACAGTGACTATACTGGTCAAGTGATCATAGCCACTGCTACTATAGTGTAGATCCACTGCCCACTGCCACATAACTTGAGACAGTGACTAACAGTCTATCAGGTCTGTGCTCAGTCGGCATCTGTGGCTTAGGTGTTGTGAACGCGCTTTGTAATGCCATGGTGCCGGGCTCGATCCTTGCTGCCGACAGTTTGTCTTGTGCTGGTTTTGACATTGATACCAAGAGCCGACCGGCCAGAAAGCAATGGCAAACTACTGGACGTAAATTTGCCTAGAAAAACCACAACAGCTAGAAAGTGCTGGGATCGGTTCTGCAACATCCTGTAAAGGATACGCAACTAACTAACCACTTGCTTCTATGACTACATGTTATCTTGATAGGATTAGCAAAGGTTAAAAAGCGGGGTGAAGGGTAAACAGATATCTCACTGTATGTATGTATTATTTATATAAAATAAGATAATAAGTGTAAAAATTGTTTAATATAGTATAACTCTTGGTGGGGATTATTAAGATTGTGTATCTGAATCATCATTTATTGTTAAAGATCAGTTGCTATGTTTTTTTCTTGTCAAAACTTAATTGATATTAAGTGTGATTGAAAAAGGAGAGTGAAAACTTCTCGTGAAAAGAAAATGAAATAAAACAGTCAGTAGATGTGATCTCATGATAAACATTTAAAAATATAGGCCCTAGATACTGGCCTCCTAGTCTATGAGCTTTAAAATTCATTTAAATAAATGTTTTTATTTTATTTTTAAGGGCGCCTTATCATCAGTTCCTGGCTTGGATGAACTAGCGATAAAGTCGGCTGTGGTAAGATTTCATAATATGCCTGGCATGTTATCTAATAGTTCCGTTTTCCTGTATCTTCGCCTTGCATATAGTATCCTGTGTGATGTATCTCCGCTTGCATATAGTATCCTGTGTGTTGTATCTCCGTCTTGCATATAGTATCTTGTGTGATGTATCTTCACCTTGCATATAGTATCCTGTGTGATGTATCTCCGCTTGCATATAGTATCCTGTGTGTTGTATTTCCGCCTTGCAGATAGAATCCTGTGTGTTGTATCTCCACCTTGCATATAGTATCCTGTGTGTTGTATCTCCACCTTGCATATAGTATCCTGTGTGATGCATCTCCATCTTGCATATAGTATCCTGTGTGTTGTATCTCCACCTTGCATATAGTATCCTGTGTGATGCAACTCCACCTTGCATATAGTATCCTGTGTGATGCATCTCCACCTTGCATATAGTATCCTGTGTGTTGTATCTCCACCTTGCATATAGTATCCTGTGTGTTGTATCTCCACCTTGCATATAGTATCCTGTGTGATGCATCTCCATCTTGCATATAGTATCCTGTGTGTTGTATCTCCGCCTTGCATATAGTATCCTGTGTGATGCATCTCCATATAGCCTGTGTTTGCATATAGTTATCATATAGTATCCTGTGTGATGCATCTCCACCTTGCATATAGTATCCTGTGTGATGCAACTCCACCTTGCATATAGTATCCTGTGTGTTGTATCTCCACCTTGCATATAGTATCCTGTGTGTTGTATCTCCACCTTGCATATAGTATCCTGTGTGATGCATCTCCATCTTGCATATAGTATCCTGTGTGTTGTATCTCTGCTTGCATATAGTATCCTGTGTGATGCAACTCCACCTTGCATATAGTATCCTGTGTGATGCATCTCCACCTTGCATATAGTATCCTGTGTGTTGTATCTCTGCCTTGCATATAGTATCCTGTGTGTTGTATCTCCACCTTGCATATAGTATCCTGTGTGAAGCATCTCCACCTTGCATATAGTATCCTGTGTGATGCATCTCCACCTTTCATACAGTATCCTGTGTGTTGTATCTCCACCTTGCATATAGTATCCTGTGTGATGCATCTCCACCTTGCATATAGTATCCTGTGTGATGCATCTCCACCTTGCATATAGTATCCTTGTGTGATGCATCTCCGCCTTGCATATAGTATCCTGTGTGATGCATCTCCACCTTGCATATAGTATCCTGTGTGTTGTATCTCCACCTTGCATATAGTATTCTGTGTGATGCATCTCCACCTTGCATATAGTATCCTGTTTGTTGTATCTCCACCTCGCATATAGTATCCTGTGTGTTGTATCTCCACCTTGCATATAGTTTCCTGTGTGATGCATCTCCACCTTGCATCTAGTATCCTGTGTGTTGTATCTCCACCTTACATATAGTATCCTGTGTGTTGTATCTCCACCTTACATATAGTATCCTGTGTGTTGTATCTCCACCTTACATATAGTATCCTGTGTGTTGGATCTCCACCTTACATATAGTATCCTGTGTGTTGTATTTCTGCCTTGCATATAGTATCCTGTTTGTTGTATCTCCACCTCGCATATAGTATCCTGTGTGTTGTATCTCCACCTTGCATATAGTTTCCTGTGTGATGCATCTCCACCTTGCATCTAGTATCCTGTGTGTTGTATCTCCACCTTACATATAGTATCCTGTGTGTTGTATCTCCACCTTACATATAGTATCCTGTGTGTTGTATCTCCACCTTACATATAGTATCCTGTGTGTTGGATCTCCACCTTACATATAGTATCCTGTGTGTTGTATTTCTGCCTTGCATGTAGTATCCTGTGTGTTGTATTTCCACCTTGCATATAGTATCCTGTGTGTTGTATCTCCGCTTTGCATATAGTATTCTGTTTATTGTATCTCAACCTTGCTTATTGTATCCTGAATATTGTGTCTCCGCCTTATATATATGTGTGGTGTATATAGTAGATATTACCTTGCATATAGTATCCTGTGCATTGTTGTGTCTGCACCTTGCATATAGTATCCTGTGCATTGTTGCATCTACACCTTGCATATAGTATCATGTGCATTGTTGTATCTCCACCTTGCTTGTAGTATCCTGTGCATTGTTGTATCTGCACCCTACATATGGTATCCTGTGCGTTGTTGTATCTCCACCTTGCATTTAATATCCTCCATGTTTCAGTGACCCTAGGAACCATATCATTGGTAGCATAGATAAGATACTGGTGTGGTCTTGTATTACCCCAAGACTCTGTTGACTGTAGAATAACTATTGGTTCAGTCTGCAAACCTCCCACCTTGCAGCTAGACTGGAGACAGTCAAAGGTTCAGAAAACTGAACTCTAAAAATGACTTTTGAAATCAATCAGACTGATGCAGAGTATTGACAGATCAGTGCAGTGTAACTTCATATGACAAACAGTTTCATTTAAGCTTTTTCTAACAGTGCAAAGGCTTGTGCACTGGCTTATAAGTACAGTGATTCATGGTATTTTTAATAGTGCAGGGGCTTGGGCACTGGCTTATAAGTACATTGATTCATGGTATTTCTAATAGTGCAGGTGCTTGGGCACTGGCTTATAAGTACAGTGATTCATGGTATTTCTAATAGTGCAGGGGCTTGGGCACTGGCTTATGTACAGTAAGTAATTCATGGTATTTTTGATTGCCTATGAAGGATATCCTATAAAGGATCACACTTTTCATTAGATGATCTAGCCTACTGCTATAGATCACTCAAGAAGCATCTAAACACAGCACACAAAATCTCCAGCACAGATTGGAATCCTAATGTTTATTACCTAAATTACACATACTGTAAATATTCGTTTGTGGGTAGGTATAATAAGTTAAGTGAAGTGCAGCCTGGGCTGTTCCAGCTTTTGAGGGATTTTTTAAACTCTCTGTCTCTCTCTCTCTCTCTCTCTCTCTCTCTCAATCTCTCTCTCTCTCAATCTCTCAATCTCTCTCTCTCTCAATCTCTCTCTCTCTCTCAATCTCTCTCTCAATCTCTCTCTCTCAATCTCTCTCTCTCTCAATCTCTCTCTCTCTCTCTCAATCTCTCTCTCTCTCTCTCTCAATCTCTCTCTCTCTCTCTCTATGGGGGTTGGTATGTGTGAGAGGGTATATGTGATACACACACATACACAGAATTATGTATGTATTGCAGAACAAGTTTGACAGTTACCTGGCACAGCCCGACAGCCTGACCCTTCCCCAGTGCAATGTTATTCTGAGTGCTTCAATAAGGTAGGATCTGGGTTTTAACTTTACATCCTTTTTTATGTTTTTTTTTGTTCTTATTTTAGTTCGTTATTGACATATAGATAATTCCTTTTGGTATACACATCTTCTTCTTCTTCTTCTTCTTCTTCTTCTTCTTCTTCTTTTTCCAACTGAAAAGGGTACTTCAAATATGTCTTTTACAGCTAGGCTGAAATTTTTTTTATCTTTCAGTCCAACACATCCATTTTTCACAAACTCCTGATCTGTTGCCTTTTACAATATTTTTGTTAGGAAGCACTGTTTCTTAAACACCCCCCCCCCCCCCTTTCCACAACGACTGTATGAGGCCCTAGGACTTATGCTGCAGGGTAAAGTTTCAGTAAATGTAAGGATTAGTTGAAGTTTTCTATCTTGAGTTGAAAGGTGAAGCCTGGGCTTCATTGGAGTGGGTGCTGTATACTTTTGTCTTATCTTCCTGCTGTCTCACTTGTTGTTTCTGTAATGGTGCAGAGCTTGCAGGTTGTAGGAGCTGCAGTTTAAAAGGGAAGCCTGGATTTAATTAGAGTTGGTGCAGTAGACGTGTCTTATCTTTTTTCTAACTGGTTGTTGCTATGGTGCTGCAGAGCTTGCAGGTTGTAGGAGCTGCAGTTTAAAAGGGAAGCCTGGATTTAATTGGAGTTGGTGCAGTAGACGTGTCTTATCTTTCTTCTAACTGGTTGTTGCTATGGTGCAGAGCTTGCAGGTTGTAGGAGCTGCAGTTTAAAAGGGAAGCCTGGATTTAATTGGAGTTGGTGCAGTAGACGTGTCTTATCTTTCTTCTAACTGGTTGTTGCTATGGTGCTGCAGAGCTTGCAGGTTGCAGGAGCTGCAGTTTAACAGTGAAGCCTGGAGTTGGTGCAGTAGACTCTTGTCTCATCTTTTTGCTGTCTCACTAATTCTGTATTTATTGGTGCAGCCCTTGGCGGGTTGTAGGAGCTGCAGTTTATGCTCTAAATTCATGTATATTATGCTAGTCAGTGTGAGCCTGTGTCATTGTAAGGGACTCTTTGTTTCTAAGTAGCTAAGCTGTTTGCCTTGTGCTCCTAAGGTCTCGAGTTTGTCTTATGAACTCATTCAGATTATGAGGGCAAATTTTACATAAATAAATGGGGAACGTAGCTGGAGCTGTGGAGTTTTTGCATTGTGTTGTGCTTTTAGCAGGTGGCTAGCTGTTCTGTGGAGAGAGACTGAGTATATGGGATAAAACCTCTTACAGTGACGTTGATGCTCGTCTTGAAACTTTGTGCCATTGAAAAATGTTAATGTCAGTCCATCTGCTTACTGGTGTTCTGCAATCTAAAAGCTCTGTAACTCTGTAACATTCAAGAGATTAGCTGAGTAGAAGAACAATTGTAGGTACTGAAGGGTAGAGAAGAGCTGCACAATGTGTTAATTACAGGGGATGGGCGGTGGGACCAGCAGGTGCTGAGGTTTAACAGCTGACAGAGGACAACTCTAGGCCAGGAGATGTGATTGTATTCACTGATAGATCAGTGACCAGAGACAGAAAGAGTGGATGGCAACTGTCTTTCACTGTTCCCTACAGCTTGGTTTCCATAGTAAGGGCAACCAGCTAAACCTGGGGTCTCTCTCTACTTCATGAAGAGAACATGTCTGTAGCACACCTTGAGTATTCTGTGGTTTTTCTTCTTCTTTTCTTCTTCTTCAGCATTCCGAGCCCTTGAGGTTCATTGCTGCAGATATCACCCACCTCCATTTATCTCTCTGGTGTCTTCTTCTTCAGCATTCCGAGCCCTTGAGGTTTATTGCTGCAGATATCACCCGTCTCCATTCATCTCTCGGGTTGGCCTTCTTCTTCAGCATTCCAAGCCCTTGAGCTTCATTGCTGCAAATATCACCCGCCTTCATTTATCTCTATGGTTGGCCTTTTTCTTCAGCATTCCGAACCCTTAAGATTTATTGCTGCAGATATCACACACCTCCATTTTCTCTCTAGTTGGCTTTCTTCAGCATTCCAAGCCCTTGAGGTTCATTGCTGCAAATATCACCCGCCTTCATTTATCTCTCTGGTTGGCCTTCTTCTTCAGCATTTCGAGCCCTTGAGGTTCATTGCTGCAGATATCACATGCCTCCATTTATCTATTTGGTTGGCCTTCTCTTTCCAGTTGGTAACACCAAGTGTTTGCAGGTCTGATTGGATATTATCTCTCCACCGTCTTCTTGGTCTATGACTGTTCATCTCCCTTGTGTATACAGTTTTTACTTCTCTTTTATCTGACATTCTTTCAATATGCCCCAACCATTTCAGTCTATTAGCTCTCATGATGCCAGTGATCAGTGGTGATTTAAACAAATTATGAATTTCGTTGTTGCTTCTCACTCTCTATTCACTGCGTTTTTTCGGTCATGGGAAGTCAGCATGAAAATCCAATTTTTTTTTCAATCATGAAATCTCATTATCATGTCTTTTGTGTCATCCTCAGAGAAATAACAAAGAAACGGTCTGTAGAGCTTGTGTGCGAAGCATACACTCAGATATATAAAGCCATCATGAATCCATCTAACGGTTACAAAGATGGCCCAGGAATTGTGCCCCGGACTCCAGAACAGGTGGTGCATTTACTAATGTGATGCTCTGTGAGGGAAAGAAAGGGGACCTGGGCAGTTAATCTGCTTTACGGATATCTTTTATGTGATTATTTTAGAACTGTTAGAGTGTGTGGTTGACAGAATCACTCATGTTGATCTTTGGGAGAAAACTAAATATTCCAGGTAATCGAGGTGAGGAAAAGATGCTGGTGCCAGGTGGAATACATATTGAGAAAACTTAATATTATAATTACAGTATCCTTCTTCTGGAACTCACAAGGTTAAATGAATAAAGGTAGATAAAAATAAAAACTTTTTTAGAAGGAAACTAGAGATGAAGTGAAAAAGATGCTGGTGAACAAAATGAAAAAAGATAGAAATGACTTGGCATTTATTGGCTGAGATTCAAGATTCAATTCGGGGAAGAGGCAAGAAAAGAAGAGGAGCAGTTAGCAGGCTGAGAAGAGTCATGATCGTATGTTTATTATAAGCTTTTATTAAGTGTGATTTTTGTTCTAGGGCATATATTAATTCAGGAGTATTTGCTAGTTTTTCCTAATGTGACTTAAAGTTCAAGGTTTTATAATTGTGTAATATTTCTCCAGTGTTTGGCAGTTTTAGAATACCGTTTCCACAGAAGTTGATCTCTCTGTCTTCTTCTTTTTTTGCAATGACCGGCTATAATCTCCAGTGGAAAGTTATGGTTGTTCATCCACTTCTGGACTTTAGTCTTGTTCCAGAACCTGAGTTTTGCATGGACATCTGTTCTAGAGACTGTTGGTTCCTAACCTCTCAGGCAGATGTCCTCTGAATTTGTAGGATGCACCCCTAATTAGTTGACTACCATGACATGCTTGTTAATGAGCAGTGGGTCTGTTCTCTCACCCCTTCTCCCCCCCCCCCCCCACCTCCCTTAACACGAGCGAGCATGTACTCACACGCAGACACACACACACAAAGGGTGACACAGACACACACACACACGCATGCACGAACAATGGGGCTCTAGAACCCACAGTAGATTTTTCTGTGACATTGATTCTGTGATTGTTTATGGTTCTTGGATGTTGATGATAAATATGGGCACATTTTAGAACACAGATTTTGCACTAAATTGCTATTATGTGCATTATTTCTAAATTTTGAGATTATTCCATTATAATTATTTGGTAATCGAGAAGGATTACATTAAAAAAAATATTTATGTTTAAAAATAAAAATAAATAGAAAACGTATGGAGAACTTAGAAGCCTTTTGTGTTTTGGTTATAAAATAACTCCTAATGTTGGGTGTAAAACTGAAATCAAGAAAACAGTTGGAATAACTAAATTTGTAATCCACAGCTTGTCAAGTGTTCTAACAAATAATTATATTATTTGTTAATAAAGCCACCAGGTGGTGTGTGTATCCTACATTGTAATTTGCTTTGAAATCACGGATTATAAGCAAGAAGATAGGAGTATAACTAGTGCTGTTCAAATGGGGATTTAGAGACATTTTAGCAGCATTGGTTATAATGTTAAAATGTGGATGTAAAATATATAAAGAAATCTGGCGAATGTCATGGCAAATCAACATGACAAACTACATTTGACTGTTTCATACGGAGAAGCTGATATTTCAGCTCTGCTAATTCAGCTACACATTGCTGTAATGTAATGGCGATATTTTGACATGGTATTGGTGACGATACCTACTGTGACCATATAATGGCTTTGGCGCTGTTTGTGACTGGGCAGATTTAGGCAAGTATTTTTTTTAAATTGGGGGCGGGGGAGGGGGGTGTGTGTGGAGACCTTTAGGTGAGCTCCCATGCTTTGCCACCCCTGCCCACATTGTGACTCACATAACTTTTTTTTTCTTCAAATGGGGCCTCCAAGTCAGGGGTATGATTCGTTTGTGTGGGTACCCTTTCCTCATAGCCCAACTTTATAGAGACTAATGTTTGCATTTTGCTTCCGTTGTAGGACATACAAGGTAATTTTATGGACATAGCAGTGTCACCTCCCTTTTGATCCGTGACTGGTTGTTCATCCCTTTTCTTTCTCTGCATTTGGTGGTTGGCACATTGTATTTGTGGTTTACAGCTATTCACACTTTGTGGCTTGCTTGTGGAGGGGAAAAGGGGGGGGGGGGGGTCAGTGAATCTATTCTTTAATTTTTCACTCAGAATGGGGTCCCTGGAACCCACACAGGGAATTCATCCTTTTAAACCCTGGCTACTTATGTGAGAGCTAACACTAGACGGTGCACCACAGAGAACCCTGTCACTTAGACACAGTGGAAGCAGAGGTTGACCACACAAGCGATGGATGGATGGAATAGTCGAGGATGTAAACATGAGTACCTATGTAGCACATACCAAGGCTCTACCCTAGTGGTCTCCAGTCATTTTCAGGTGGCATTCTCCCCCTCCCCTGCCCCTCTATTGAGCATATGGCAAGACCGCCACGCCTCCTTCAAGTATATGGCAAGACCGCCACGCCTCCTTCGAGTATATGGCAAGACCGCCACGCCTCTCTCTCAAGTATATGGCAAGACACCTATACC